TTTGTTTGTGGGCTGTGGCCGTGTGCCTGCCCTGGTTCTTGTTGACCTGTTCCGTTGTGTGTGGCGTCTGGAGAGAAAAGAAGGAGTCTGACGTGCACTTAGGAGTCGGGGTGGAACAAGTTCCTTTATTTGACATTGCAGAGAAGTAAGTAACTGCGGAGTCGCAACCACAGTAGGTGTTTGCGTCTGGCGTAGTGATTTTATGAAAGCGTCGATTTGGGTACACGAGAGGTGTACTTGGGTTTGCGTTTTTCACAAAACAAGAAACAAAATCATCTACAAACCAGCTTGCTCCAGCAGACCCAATTCTGGGTCCAGAAAACTTTCTCAAAATCGGCTTCACTCAAAAGAACCTTAGTTGCCCTTGCGGTCGCCATAAGCTTCAGTCCCAAAAATGGAACCTCTGGAGGTCCCATTTTTGGGACGCATGCACAACTTTGTAAAAGAACAAAAGAAAGCTCCCTGAGGTGATACAATGTTATCATCTCTTCTAGTGCTGTAGATGCCTGTAAACTGATCAGCTGATCACCGGCCGTGCTGGTTTTTGGTATACAGTAGCAAGCATGCTGTTGATTTTCCCATGCGTGAGACTTGACTGTGTATCTTCTGCAAGTAAAACATGTCTTGACTATGTTTGGTCTGCGAATGTATTCATGCTCTCTGTTTGAGCAATTTTGCCCGCCCAAGTTTCCCTTCCTTCCTTGGTTGAAGTTGTTGGTTTGTTGCACAATTGAATCCGATCGCCCAGCAGACCGCTGAATGAAGATCATCTCTACACGTCCTTGTTTGCGTCTCCGTACAAATTTCGGGCCCCGGATTGCATTTTGGGGCCTGATTTGGGTCATATTTTGGTCCCTGTTTTGGGTTCCATTTTTGGGCGCGGTTTTGGGGCCCTGGATTTTGTTTGTAATTGTAGGGACCCAAAACGGTGCCCAAAAATGGAACCCGAAACTGGGGCCAAAATATGACCCAATTCAGGACCCAAAATGCAATCCGGGGCCCCAAATTTGTACGGAGACACAAACAAGGACGTGTAGAGATGATCTTCATTCAGCGGTCTGCTGTGCGATCGGATTCAATTGTGCAACAAACCAACAACTTCAACCAAGGAAGGAAGGGAAACTTGGGCGGGCAAAATTGCTCAAACAGAGAGCATGAATACATTCGCAGACCAAACATAGTCAAGACATGTTTTACTTGCAGAAGATACACAGTCAAGTCTCATGCATGGGAAAATCAACAGCATGCTTGCTACAGTAGATTATGTATCGATCCTATTCACTTCTCTTTTGTATGCACACTGTTGTCATGAATGATGTTGCCACTGCATTAATTCGGTGAATTTGCAAACTGCAATTGTCTGTGGGGCTTGATAAACGACCTTTTTTTTGTGGTCGGCGCCTGCGGAGAACAAGAAAGAGCAGAAATCAGCAGCAAAGCGCCACTTGCGGTTGCTAAAAGCAACGCGACAGCCGCTAAACGAGGATGTCCGTTTTTCCCACAGCCCGGAGCGTAAAGTGGACAAACTTGGACGATATCCTGAAAACCCTGGAAATTTCTAAAAAACATGGCCGCGTATAGCGTATGGTTGGTTTTATTTGAATGTAAGCTGACCGGCCAAAAATGGATCTCACACCACAGCGCGGAGCGTTTGGAGGGCACAAACCGTCTGGCCCGCAACACCAAAAAGTGTGTTCTCGCCGGTGAGTTTAGTTGAGCTCTTTATTCAGATTCCATTTTGTTTGCGTGACGGGCGCAGCACTTGAGAATCCCGTACGTTGAAGCGCGGCAGGCGCAGCACTGGAGAAACTTGTGTGGCCATCTTAAAAGTTGAAGCGCGGCAGCTGCAGCTTTTTTTCCGTCCAACGCCTTCATGGCTTCCGCCAGGTCGTCCAACACGTTCAATTGTATGTTGCAAAATTTAATTAATTAGTTAATTAACGCATACTTGGCCGTCTGCAAATTGAGGGGCCTCAAGAGTCAACTGGTATAGGAGAAGCGCGGCAGCTGCAGCGCTTGAGAACTCCGTGCGGCCAGCGTAAAGTTTGAAGCGCGGCAGGTGCAGCGCGTGAGAACCCAGTACGGCCACCTAACACAAACTGAACCCCTGCGACCCCATTGTCAATGTTGAAGATGTGTTGATGCTATTGCAACTAAGAAGTGAGTTCCAATTTGAGGATGTGACCTGAGGCAAAATTTCTTTTTGATGACTATCAGTTCAAAGGTGAAACTGCAACATTTAAGCCTCCGTCCAACATTGAAGATGGGGCGCGGGGAATGCCGGGGTCGGGATTCTCCACAGGAACTGTAAATCTGAACATCACAAGCCGCTTTTAAAGCATTTGTAAATCTTGGAGCGTCATACCGGCTTTCGGTGTGTGTAGATAGTCAAATCTTCCAGTGAAGAAAAAAGGGGAGCTACAGCAATCACAGCTGAGAGTCGAAGATCGCGTAAATCTTTCTTGCTGGAGACTTCAGGTTGGGCTTGCCACGTGATGGACGCTGTCCTTCTGCTGCAAGAACGCTGTTGATTTCCAACCATTGATGAGAAAGAGTTCACTACTGCAATTTTTTCAGCTTTGTTCCATGGACGGGGCAAGCAACGAAATATAGCTTTGTTGGGTTCCTCTGCAAGGGCCCCAATGAAGGAGATCTCCCACAGGGCAGTGTGTACTTGGCACCATCGGCTTCCACCTTTCCACTGCTCCATCTAGAGGTGTCAAACGCGCTTCAACCTTTAACATGGCCGTACGGGGTTCTCAAGTGCTGCGCCCGTCACGGAAACAAATGGAATCTGTAAAATAATCGTGCAAACAAAGAGCCCAACTAAACCCACCGGCGAGAACACAATTTTGGTGTTGCGGGCCAGACGGTTTTGTGCCCTACTAAACGCTCCGCGCTGTGGTGTGAGATCCATTTTGGCCGGTCAGCTTACATTCTAAGAAAATTTTTTTAGTATGTTTTTTCCATCGAATTGAACCAACTATACGCTATACGCTGGCCATGTGTGGTCTGTAAATGTATTCATGCTCACTCTTTGAGCAATTTTGCCCGCCCAAGTTTCCCTTCCTTCTTTGGTTGAAGTTGTTAGTTTGTTGCACAATTGAATCCGATCGCCAAGCAGACCGCTGAATGAAGATCATGTAGACTTTGCTTGCGCCGCCGCACAATTTGTGGCCCCGGATTCCATTTTGATTTGGGTCCAATTTTGGTCCTTGTTTTGGGTTCCATTTTTGGACACCGTTTTGGGCCTCTACAACTACAAAGAAAATCAAGGGCCTCAGAACGGCGCCTAAAGAGGACCAAAATTGGAAAACCTTCCCCCATGTAAGCAGCAAGAAGCGGCCGCAAGATTGAGCAAAATGAGGTTCCAAAACCAGAGCCCAAACCAGGCAGTTTCGCGGTGATGCATGGGCGTACCTCCATAGTAGCAAGCATGCTGTTGATTTCTTTATGCGTGAGACTTGACAGTGTATCTTTTGCAAGTAAACCATGTCTTGACTATGTGTGGTCTGTGAATGTATTTGCTTGCAGATGCAATTTGTCACTGTTTTCTGATGTTGGTTGGCCCTCTTGAGACCATCGCGGAGAACAAGAAAGAACAGAAAAATCAGCAGCAAAGTGCCGCCAGCGGTTGCTAAAAGCAGTCCAACAGCCGCCAAGCTAGGATGTGCGTTTTCCCACAGCGCGGAGCATATAGTTGATGAATTTGGACTACTATACCCTGAAAACCCTGGAAATTTGCGGAAAAATTAAGAAGTGAGTCTGAATGCAAGTCAATCTGTTGTTGTTGGAAAGCCTGGGCAGCGTGCTTTCCAGCGAGTGGGTTTGATGCCTGGGCAAGATCTACTTTCTGTCAAGATTTAAAAGGCTTTAGAGTGAAGCCCTTGCCCGGCAGTCCCACAAATTTTACCCGCCGTTGGCCAAGCGTCCGCCATGTTCCCCCGTAGATCTCGCATTAATGTGACATTGGCGACCTCCCCTTAAATTCACCCGTATTCATACTTTGGATTGATGGAAGGGTTGAAAACAGTGACTGGGCGGGCCCCGGTGAAGGGTCCCAGTTTTTTGGATTCATGTTTGGTCCCATATGAGAGATTGCACTTATCTGAGTTTCTCATACGCCTACCTTCTTTCAGAGGGTGACGGATTACGCTGAAACAGTCGTTTTTTGTTTTCATTTTGACTCCGAAGGTGCTTCGTCGTGGAAGTTTGCGCTCGTGTGCATGTGTTCTCTGGTCGTCCTCGTGGTGCAGTTGGTATCGCGGCACTCTTGTGTCGCTGACAGCTGGTGGTGGTTCGATTCCCCGCTGGTCCGCGAGTAAGACTCAAGACCGTAGACCCGCCGAAAGGCAACGGGCTCGGACAAAAAAAAGCTCGTGTGCATGTGTTCTCTGGAGATCTTCTCTTTATCTCTTTTGCGACAACACCGCAGTGAATCCCGATCGAAGCCATGGTTTTGGTTTGTGTGCCATCTGGGGACTGACTGGAACTGCTTTCTGAAGATGGAAGTGGGGCAAGCTTAAGGGGGGGGCTCAAGGGAGGGGTTCAGGGGGGGCAAAAGCAAAGGCTTAAGGGGGGGCTTCAAGGGGAGCTTCAAGGGGGGCTTCACGGGGAGCTTCAAGCGGTGTTCAAGGGGCTTCAGGGGGGTTTCAAGGGGGTTTCAAGGGGAGGCTTCAAGGACCGCATTGCGGGGGGAGGTGCTGCCACCTTCCCCACCCGCTTTTTTTAACAGGCTCCCCTTGCTGGCTACTCCTACGTACTACTCCTACGTACTACTACTACTACTACTGCTACTGCTACTGCTACTGCTACTGCTACTGCTACTGCTACTACTACTACTACTACTACTACTCCTACTGCTACTGCTACTGCTACTGCTACTGATGCATAGTTGCTGCAAGCGGTTGTGCATTACAAGGTTTTGTTTCAGGTTACCGTTTCCCAAGTCTGCATGGTTCAAGTTGGCTGCAAGCTTGAGTTTTTCTTCCTGCAAAAGTCTATGCCTGGTTATGTTTCACAACGACGTTGCGCTGGATACAAAATGGGGCGGTGGCTGCATCGATTGCGTCCGGCTCCACCGGCTTCATATTTGTGGTTCTGAGGCGACCACATGCCAATCGGCCTGATTCCTCATCTTGAAGCACGTGCAAAGTCCCAGTGAACTTGTGCGCAACAAAAGTGTACTCGTCAGACTCACCCAGAGGTATGCGCGGCCCGTCCACCAAGTGAGCTTTGGAGTGAATGGAGGCTACTTCTGTGTCCTCAAAATCTGACTCATCTGACAATGTTGTCATCTGGTCCATCCGATTGCAAGAGCTTTCGCAACCTGGTGGCCCTACTTGCGTCTGGGTTCAACTCGTCGTTGACGATCATTCCACCGCGCAAGCTCCCACAATGTGTGTGTCCGCGTTCTGGGCTCAATCTGGGGCGCGGCGTTTTACCGGCGTTTTACCTGTAAATTTCCGTATGAAGTGGCTCTTGTGAAATTGACGTGCATTTCGACTGCGCAGGCTCGCCCAAAGTGTGGGACCTGGTCTTGGGATTGGTTTTCCGCCTCAACATCATCATCTTCCTCCTCCTCAACATCAACATCATCATCTTCCTTTCCCTTGACATCATCATCCTCAGCATCATCATCCTCCACCTCATCTTCCACCACATCATGATCCTCCACCTCATCTTCCGCAACATTATCATCCTTGTCATCCTCCTCCTCAACATTATCCCCCTCAACATCATCATCTTCTTCCTTCTCTACGTCATCATCCTCCACCTTTTCATCCTCCACTTCATCTCCCGCATTATCATCCTCATCATCATCACCATCATCATCATCATCATCATCATCCTCATCACCATTATCTTCATCATCACCCTCACCCGCACCCTCACCCTCACCATCACCATCACCATCATCACCATCATCATCATCATCATCATCGCCATCATCTTCAGCGTCATCATCTCATCATATCTCATCATATCTCATCATATCTCATCATATCTCATCATATCTCATCATATCTCATCATATCTCCTCCTCCTCCTCCTCCCTCCTCCTCCTCCTCCTCACCATCACCATCACCATCACCATCACCATCATCATCACCCTCACCATCATCATCATCATCACCACCACCACCATCATCATCATCATCATCAACATCTTTACCATCATCATCATCATTATCATTATCATCCTCATCACCATTACCTTCATCATCACCCTCACCCGCACCCTCACCCTCACCATCACCATCACCATCATCATCATCATCATCATCATCGCCATCATCTTCAGCATCATCATCTCATCATCATCTCATCATCATCTCTTCATATCTCATCATATCTCCTCCTCCTCCTCCTCCTCCTCCTCACCATCACCATCACCATCACCATCACCATCATCATCACCCTCACCATCATCATCATCATCACCACCATCATCATCATCATCATCAACATCTTTACCATCATCATCATCATTATCATTATCATTATCATCATCATCATCATCCTCATCATCCTCATCCTCATCCTCCTCATCATTTTTCCTCCTCATCATCGTCATCTTCCTCCTTCTCTACATCATTATCCTCCACCTGATCATCCTCCACTTCATCTTCCGCAATCTCATCCTCATCATCCTCATCCTCATCTTCATCATCATCATCATCATCATCTTCATCGTCCTCATCCTCCTCTTCCTCCTCCTCCTCCTCATCACCATCACCATCACCATCCTCCCCATCCTCACCAGCATCCTCACCATCATCATCGCCATTACTATCATCATCACCATCATCATCAGCATCAGCATCGGCATCATCATTATCATCATCATCATCATCACCATCACCATCATCATCATCATCATCATCATCATCCACATGATCATACATTATCCTCCCACTCCCCCACTCTGTTTGGAGCCTTTTGCCGGGATAATTTTGAATGTTGACCTGTTCGTGGCGATAACATTTTTTTTTTTGAACATAAATCACTGTAACATACAGGGTGTTATGTACATTCCTGATTCCAAATCCACAACCCCAATGAGGAAAAACCCACGCCCTTGTCAAGGCGTTGTTCCTTTGTTTTTCTTGACGGTTTCAACGCCCGATCTGACACTACCGCCCCAAATTGTATTGCAGCGGCGCCAAACAAGGGGGTGTCTCGTTCCAAAACCAGTTGGTCAAATTACATGTCGAAATCAGTGCCAATCATGAAAAACATTTGCAGTGTCGTTGGGGCACCCATTGCGAAGCGTGTCCAAGGACGGCACATGGAATGGTTTGATTTGTTTTTGTAATGCGAAACTATTGGGTATAACCCTATTCGTTTCTGAATTGAACCAAGTGTGCTCTGAAGTTTTCTGGTTCAAACACATGGGTTGTTCGGGCAAAATTACTCAGTTAAATCAGTTTTCAATCATTGCAAACCAACTTCAAGTTCGATCATTGCATCCAGGTACATTTAACACATTGCAGGGGGAAATCCTTTGCGTTTTCCGCAATTCTTTCCATCATATAGTTGAATGCTGAGAAACATCTCTTTGCATCCGTGATACGTGCCAAGCACAGGAGTGACTTTCACTGACCGATGGCACATGAATTCTCAGGTTTGATTGTTTGAAAAATGAACCAATTTTAATTCGGAGCAAAAAAACGTGTTCCCGTGTTCCCCCACATTCCCCATTTTGTTTATTGAATCCAAAATCAATTCGATTTTTCAGGATTTATTCAACAAACAGATCAGAACCGTGGCAGGGAACCGCCATGGAAGCGTCACTGCAGCAATTCTGCGACAAGTGGCAACTGGATGTTGACGCACAAAACTTCTTAAGGTGACTGTGGGATTGGGATGGGGTGACCAACCCTGTGAAAACAATAGTTTTCGGATGTTTTCGGCTATACCGCTATACCCGACTCATGTGTTTGCCCTGGAAACGGTAGTTGGTCCGGAAAAAACAAAAATAAATCACGGTCGCAGTGTGTTTGCATCTAATTTTATGAGGGACCCATTGGTTTAGTAGAACCCGGAAAAAACATTGAACACATGTCTTAGGTAGTGTGACCAAGACCAATTTTGATTCTTTGTTGTTGGTTGGTTCTGATGCTTAATCGCGTTGCAACAAGGGAGTGTAGTTCGTGCTGAAATTGCATCCCTATGCGAAAAAACCGTTTGTTTTTTAATTTTACGGGTTGCAAACTTTAGGGATTTTCATAATTTTTCATATTCTTCCTAGTTGTTTCTAATTCAACTTTGGAATTTTTTCAAGAACTCAATGTCCCCATTTCCATCAGATTGTCGTTCTCTCGTGGTTCCATGATGTTCCATGCATAACTTGGTATGCCATGCGTGCAAAATCGTTGCTATTGGAAAAAACTAAAGTTTTAGTCGTTTCCACCATGTTTTTTTGCAAAAAATACGTCGTCGTTTGCCCAGTGTGACCATGTGTCAAATTCAATCAATCAGGGTCGGGAAAAAACGCCGTTTGGTCCGGCAAAAATGCAATTTCAAACATATAATTTTCTGACAGCCACGCAGTTGTTGGGAAAACGCTCGCAGTCAAAAATAATTGTTTCCTCGGATGAAAAAAACAGTTTTTCTTGAAAACCCATGGAAAAAATACAACATTTGGATGGTGCAGGTATATACCGTACCCCATTTCGTGGCAATGAACCATTTTGTGGGTACAACCAAATGGTATCCACTTGATTCGGGAAGATAGTTCGTTCCAATGTGAAACAGGCCCAGACCCCCTTGTTGAGCACTGGCCCTATTCATTTGAGGTACCATTTCATTCATTTTTCGCCAAATATTCCTTATAAACCCATTGGTACATGATTTGGGTTTGTCCGAAAATCGGCTACACCAAAATCCAGTGCCAATCATCCTTATTTTCCCCTACAAAAACCAACACATTTTTTGGGGGGTCAGACGCGCCCTTAAATGTCAGATGATTAGCTTTATGGTCACACGCGGATATTTGCCCTTGGGTTATTTGTTGATTTAGGCATTTCTCCATGTTCAAATTTTGCAAGCCTCACAGCACTTTGTGCTTTGTGTGAAAATGAAAGTAGGGTTTCGCTGTGGTTTTAGCGCACACATGTTCGTTTTGTATTGATATTTGCAGTTTTTTTGTTCTTGACTCGCCCAGCCTCCATTTCGCTCAAAAGTGTTTTTTTTCATTTGCTCGCCTGGTTCGTTCCAAGTCACATGATCTTTCCCAACTTTTTGGTCAAATTGGCATGGTTGCCCAAATTGCTTCGCCACACGAAACCCCAAACATATGACATTAGTTTTTCAGCAATGTCACCTCCAGGTCTGTCTTTGACGTGAAGAGACTGAGGCAATGCCTTGTCAAGACTTTGCCACCAACGGTCGACACATTGTGTGCCAGCGACCACTACCCCAGGTTTCTTCCTGGGTCTCACTTTCTTTGCGAACTGATTTTTGTTGTGTGAGTGAGACATGAAATTTTTCAACTTGTGGCGTGTGCTGGGAACACCACTTTGGCCAGCTCTTTGCACCATCAGAGTGAAGCTGAGTCTTGCAACCGTTGAAGGCGGAGCATCAAGAGCGTTTTAGAAGTTCCAAGAACATGTTGAAAGCGTAGCATCAAGAGCGTCTTTGACGTTCCAAGAATAACAGAGAGTTGAAAAAAACACATATTATATATATATAAGCACGCACACGACAAGAACGTTATAACCCCCAACCCCCTCAACCCACCCCCCGAACACATGATGTAGTGGTCTTTTTTGTCGAAATGTAACAAAACGCCTTATCAACGTGCCTCCAGCTACATATCATGTGAAATCATTTACATATTCCCTTATTTCCCCAGCAAACTTACAGACTTAGTTCCCCAGCCACCAGAGGGTCGGACCAAAAATCAGGTCGTTGGAGCCGGCCGCATTGGAGGTTGTCATCGCGGATTTTGCCCCGCACGAGGCACGTGGTTCTTTAGGGTGGAGATGGGTGATGTTTGTCAGGGGATGATTATATAAGGCCCAATAACCATGAAAACATAGCAAGAAACAAATATTTGAACATGTTTCTCACTTCACAGAATCACCTTAAAAAACAGGAAAGAAAAAATTGGAACTCGAACCCATTCTGACTTTTGTAAGAGGAATCATATTTTGTGGAGTTTCGCCCAAATCAGTGACAGCTGCCGTTTCAAAAACCAACACGCCTAAATTCTGTCATTCAACCGCTAAATAGCTGGATAAAGAAGGTCACGTTCCAACCCCTTTCCCTTGGGGTTGTGTATTTCAGAAGTACAAGGAGTAACGAGGCCAAAAAGATCGTAAAGCAAATGAATCACATGAAAATCCCAGGGACTATATCAGCCTTTTCACCTTTTGGTAAAAACTACTATAGGTTCCCCCTTTTAGACGTGACGTTTAAAAACGCTCCAGATTTCTGCAGGGCACCCAGGACGTTGCGGGAAAACTCTATTCGTTTGCAAAGGGCATCTCCCGGCAGCCAAGACAAGAGGGCGTGGAGGCGACCGGTTGGGATGGCTGAGGGAGATATCAGATATGACATGACTGGATTCTGATGTTTTTTTTTTCATTGGAAGCATTTATGCCATGATTATCCATGATTCAATTTCCAAATTTTGGCATGAATATTCAGATTCCAAGCCCAATAGAGAGGGTTATTGATGGATTTACTGCATTACTTGGGGTCAGTTTTGTTTTTTTTCCCACGCGATTGTTGGAAACAAAACTAGGAAATAGGTGGTGTCAACATCTGTTTGCATTCAACCACTTGGAGTGTAGCACCACTTGGATTATATATGCTCTACGGCTTCAACGATCAATGGATACCTATGGAATGTTTGTGTTTGGCCACCAACTTGAAGCCGAAGCTAGTGCGATGTCAGGCTTTGTGTTTGTTTTCAGGAGCATCAAGGAGTTTTAGGGTTCAAATTGATCATCTGCCTCAGAGAATCCCACTTTGAACAGAATTCCATTTGTGCCATGCTCAAAATTTCGTTGTGGGCAATTCCACACATGACTTGTTTTTTTTTTTTTGGGTCCTACAAAGAGCGGGCACGTCGCACTGTAGAAACCCTGCAACTGGGGGATTTTGCCTTGGCTTTGGTCCCTTAAATTCCTCAAAGTGGCATAGTCTTATCATAGACAAAGCGTATATCAAGAAAGCTACGGAGAGCGTTCAGAAGGGTTGGAGGCTACATCCACGTCATGGAAATTTTTCGTTGCTTAAACATTTGGCCTTGCAGATTGTCACCCCCAAAAGCCCCTGGCTTTGGTACTGAGTCTAGTTGTTTTTTTTGAATTTCACCTTAGGGAGATGGCATTATATCCGTTTATATCTGGTACATGACTTCATTTTTATTTTCTTGCAGTCTATACGGGAATGGATCAGAACTTATTCTACCATATCTTGCATATTTTTTTGGATATTCACATCATTTCGCATCCGTCAATCCCAACTATATTTAGTTCTGGTCTTCGGAAAATTGATTCCATGGGTTTTGACTTCGTTCGGCAAAATGGGGCCCATTTTGGTCTCAGGCCTTTATCCAGAAATGGAAGTTGGACCTCTCGACCGTGCTTCCGCTGCATTCAGCCATTTTTGTGGAGGGGTCAACCACGGGGTACCATTGCGGTACCATGGTTCAAAGCATGGGTAGCAAGCCTGAAAAGGTGCCTGACCCAGAGGTATGGAAGGTCAATGTGCGTAGCAGTTAACCAAAACCCGCGAGATTTGTGTTTGCACACTCATTTTTGCAGTTTCCGTCCAAGACACATAATGTATGAATGTGTATATATGTATATATATATATACATATGATATGTATATACATTATATGATTCTTTATTCATGACTTCTGTGATCGTTTTTCCACCTCAAGTTCAATGCATGTGGGTAGATCGGGTGCTGTCTTGGATTGCTGTTGCTCGTGAGGCCTCCCTTAGTTTGTCCTGCCCTTTCCATTGTGGGTCATCCTTTTTGCCGGCCTTTGCTTTGGGTGTTGTTTGTGGCCTCCTGATTGGAATTTGCCTATCCTTTTATATCTGTCACTTCATCTGGACTACGTGGATTTCACAAACCCAAAGCCAGCATCCTTCTCCAGCACCTTCTTCTGGTGATAGAGCTTTGAACCGCCTGTCAGGGTACTTGCATGAGCGACGAGGCCATTGAACGCCTGATTGCGTCAGTGGACCGACTCACCATAGCCACCAGTGATCTGGCCAGTGCCTTCTCAGCCCAGCCTAGTCGGCCGACCCCAGAGGCAGCACCAGATCAGCCCCGGGCTGATACTTTTGCCCTAGTGATCGAGGAACTTGCCAGGACACCCTTTCCAGAGCATTTTTCTAGTGAAACTGCCAGGACTAGGTACCTAGGACCAGAAGACGGACCTGGCTCTGTACCGGGTTTTTTGTTCAAGTTCGTTGAGGGGGGCCTGTCAAAGAAGTCTCCTGAGGTTGCAGAAAGGGTTAAAAGTGTTGCTCTGAGCACCCATACCGAATATACTCCTAGAGAGGCACCTGTTGGATTGAACAAGAAGCACTGGATAGTCCTTAGGAGTGAGCACCCAAACCCGTTCCGCACCGTCACCAGGCGAGATTTCCAGAGGATTGCACCTCTGGCTGACCAGCATCTGATTTGCGAGGTTTTTGAGACACTTGCTGAGGTGGAGGTCTATTGCCTGGCCGCAGGAGTGCCGATCCCTGCGTTGCTATCATGCTCAAATCGCAATTGAAGTTCCCTGGAGCCGGGGATGATAGCATTTTGCTAGTTTTGAATCTGCCCGGAGAATTCATTTCACTTGATGCACCTGCCAGCTGCATGTCGATCCCAGTGATGAGCCGTGAAGGCGGAATCTTACTGGCCATCCCTAGTGATTATATAATTCCGCATGCCTTGCTCGAATCAGCAGTGTCCCCAGATGAAGACTCTCTGCTTGGGCCTTCAGCTGAATTCGAAGCTTCACTGCTGGAAGAGGATGAGGAGGGAAATGTAGAGCGAGTGCCCGCAAAGTCCAGGTATCTTGCAATTGATTTCTCTGATGACATTTTAGGTTATTTGCGACAGTATGACCCGGTGACTGATCCGAGCGCTGTCATTCAGCCGTTTGATCCGGAGAGGCTCGAGGCAATTGTTGACGTCAAGGAGTCCCTGGTAGACATTCGAAGGTGGCTAGAATCTCTAGGTGATGTGCCCAGAGCAAATTTTCACAGCGCTCGAGAGGAGCCTGCCACCCCGAAGGCAGCTCCCAAAAAGACTGCCAAACGTGTCACAGCCGCAAATTTGGCTGTGCAGGTGGAGACCCTGACTGCTCAGGTCAAGATGATGGCCATGCAGCAACAGGAGATGTTACTATCCCACAGAGCTTCTTTTGCTACTCATGCCGCAGAGCCGCCCAATGGAGGGCATGTTGCACCACGTCTGCCAGATGCATCCGTTGGCTTGGGGGCGACCCCGATGCCCGCAGTTCCAAAGGTGGCTCAGTTGGTGGGTCCGCCTCCAAAAACAAAAGCTGTTGCTGCATCTGCAGCAAACCTTGCCATTCCCGATACAGGTGAAACGCTGGAAGACATGGAGATGCAGCCGGACCCTATGTCCAGAGCCCTATTGCAGCAGTCGGCAGCCCTGTCGACCTTAGTAGCCCATCTTACAACAGGAGATGCCCTGACCGATCTATCTGCCGCCTCCAGCAGCGGCGCCAGCTTGAGTACAAAAGGCGTTGCACGAAGAGAGCGTCTGCAACAGGAGCTTTCAGCGGACACGAGCAACTTTTTTGTTCAAGTACAACAGCAGCTGTTTCGGAAGCTCAGTCCAAGCAAACCGCTTCCCAAGACGGAGGAGGATCTCATGTTGGGGGGGGCTTCCATGTGCGAGTACCTGGAGAAGTTTGGCGGGTACAAGGCGAAACCGGAGATGGGCATGTTGATGTGGCTGTTAGCTCACATGATGGACAGTGCACAGGCAGGGGATCACCGAATGATGAAGGAGTTCCTCGCCTTGACAGTAGTTTGTGTAGAACAGTCGGTCCTAGATGGGGATTGGAATCTAGCCTATGTATTATCCCTGCTGGAAGAACCACCACACCATGTCTTCTCCGAGAAGCCAGTGAGGGTGTCCTCCTTAGGCCGTCCTTTCGGTGCACTAGTCCCAGGCCCCTGGGCAGCAGTAGCGTTAGCCTATCTCAAGGAAGTGGATTTAATAACCACCCGCAAGACGGAAGCCAAAACTGTGAAGCCAGTGTCACCAAGCACCCGGGGACTCCCAAGAGCCCACCGGACACGTCCGGGACAGGGTCGCCACCTCGGCGGCCAAAGTTTCCAAAGAAGCCGAAGGCGGGGTCAGAGCCCCAGCCAAAAGCCAGCTGAATGCAAGCCCTGAGGGGCTAGACGGGACCGTTTCCCGTACAGCCGTTCCAAAAAAGCCTAAGGCCAAATCCCGAACTAATCATAGCCGGAGGCTTTTGTGTTGCGGCCCGAAATTAGAAGTCGCTAGTGAGCCTACAGTGCAAGTTCCTCCATCCGGAGGTGTATCCAGTGTTCCCGAATTTTCTTTTTTGCATGAACCGCAGCATAGGCAGTCTTCTTGTTTTGAGAGCGAACAAAATGCTCCTGGGCAGGGAGACAATGCTATAGGGTGTTCGAATTTTGATGCGCTAGCCGGGCAGAAACTGACCCATCCGAAGTGGTGTGCAGAGCTGACCTCACATGTGCTCAGAAGTAAAACGCCTTTTGCCGCCTATCTGCATAGAACCATCCAGCTGTCTCGCTCTTCCAGGTTAACTCGAAGGGCGACACCGACTTTCTTTCCCATCCCACTGCCTATGTTTGGGCTGTACGGGAGGATGCCCTATAGTAGCTCTGCCAAGGTTAGGCATACCGTTCATGAGAGCAGGGCCCTGCATGTGATTGTCAGTGCTTTCAATTATTGGTATTCACAGGGTCGTCATGGAGACATGGAACTACTTAGGAGGGAGCCCAGTGCATGCCATGAGATCTTCTTCCAGCGTGTCAGGCTCCTCTTGAAAGCGGACAAGTCCGTTGTGGTAGACAACCTTCCCAAGGCGGGCAGACGTTTTCCCGAGCTTGTTGCTCGTATCAGCGAACTGACAGATGCCATAGCTGCTTTGGGGCCCAGATCAAATCCCTATGACAAATCCTTGGAGGAACATCAGGTCCCAAAAAATGATGGAGTGCATGATGCTTTGAAACCTTATCATGACCTAGACCCAGAAAAGATAACCTTGCATGGACGAGCTTCTTGGGATCCCACTGAGTATTTGGACGATGAGACATGCATGCCCTTTCGTGACCCTAGCTTGTTGCAACATGGCCTGGAAACCTCCGCAGCGCCTGTCATCAGGGATGCGCCTGAAACAGTAGGCTGCCTTGCCAGAAAGTGGGATAAACTAGGCTTGCTTCTGCTTCACAAGGAGGGAGTGCACCCTGAGTCCCTGGTCCGTATTTTTGGCGCTAGAAAAGACAGAGACACCCATCGCCAGATTGGGGATCGCAGAGGACAGAATGCAAGGGAGTGCAAGGTGATAGGACCCAGTGCGGAGCTGCCAGCTCGCCCAGATTTCTGTGATTTGTACTTGGATCCGCATAGCAGTCGCCTATACATATCCGTGACAGATCGAAAAGATTTCTACCATCAATTAAGGGCTACGCGCAGTAAAGCCTTGCTGAACACTGTTGGTCCAGCCATTCCCATGTCCGAAGTTGCGAATACCGGAGCTTATGCCCAGTTTCTCATTTTGGATAGCAGGAAGAAATATGACAGGGCAAATCATGGAGATAACTTGCAGAGCCAGGCTAGCCAGGAGAGCCTCCTGCCTGGGGATGGTTTTGTGTGGGCCTGTTTTAGATCGATACTGCAAGGTGACCATAGCGGAGTTGAGGTAGCCACTGCTGCTCACACCGCTTTGCTGCAGACCTTTGATTTGTTAGGCCCCCATAGCCGGATGACCTCTAGTAGGCCCCTAAGATCCCCTTGTGAAGCTGAAGGCCTGGTAATAGATGATTACTTTGCTATTTCCATAGGACCTAAAGGCCTTCCCCCCATAAAGACATAGTTGCCACCTTCCAAGCCAAGGTCATCGGGGCCTTCATTAATGGGAGTGAACAGCTCCTTGCAGATGGGGTTGCCCTGGTATCAGCGCCACCGGAGAAGAGGTTGGCTTTGTCGCACCTGACTCTTCTGTTGTGCCAAACCAAGCACACGACTGATTCGTTGCACTTGTGCCTTTTGGGGGGTTGGGTATCCATGCTAGGCTATAGAAGGAGCCTTATGGGCCTGCTGAACGAGAGTTTTCATCTAGTACATGCCGATAGATACAGCAAGAATGACCCTAAGCTCCTACCATTGTCCAGGAAGATTGCTGATGAGCTAGTCCTATTGTCGGTGCTCATGCCGTTTGCAGTATGTGACATAGCAGCCCCTTTTGCACGGAAAGTGTATTGCACTGATGCCTCAATCGAAAAGGGGGCGGTGTTGGAAGCGGATGTCACACCCAGAACCTCTGAAGTGCTGTGGCGCACCTCCCGGTCTAAAGGTGCCTACTCCAGGTTGCTTTCTCCAGTAGAAGTAGTCCTTAAGAGGTTAGACGCTCTGGAAGAGAAGGATATCCGTTTTGCCAGAAATGAAGTCCCCCGTCCATTAGCCTTTTCCTTTGAGTTTATTGAGGTGTATGCCGGGGCTGCAAAGGTCACGTCTTTTCTACATGACATGGGTATCTCCTGTGGGCCTCCAATAGATCTCAGCTTTAGCGAGGAGTTGGATCTCAGACAGCAGCATGTCATGTCCTGGTTAACCTACCTGGTAAAAGAACGTAGGATCCTTGGACTTTTCATCAGCCCTCCTTGCACCACTTTCAGCATCATGAGGAAGCCAAGACTGAGAAGTCGTGAGCATCCGTTTGGTTTTCAGCCTTATGAACCACAAACTAGGACTGGGACTCTTTTAGCCATGAGGGGTTTGCAACTACTGTATGTGGGAGCCAGAAATGACTGCTGTGGAATTTTTGAAATCCCATACGCAGCTTACACCAAGCACCTTCCAGCCTGGAAGATTCTATCAGGCCTTCCACAGAGTCAGGAAGTCCGAACAGACTCTTGCCGCTTTGGTAGCCCACACCTAAAGAGTTTCAGATTCTTAGGATTGCGACTGAACATGAGAACCCTTGCACAGAGGTGCACATGCACAGAAGGGCATTTGATTGTGGAAGGAGGTTTCACCAAAGCATCAGCCACTTACACCGATAAGCTTGCCTCACAGATAGCCAAAGTGCTTTATGAGGGCATTACTGCCGTTCGCAGAGCCGTGCGTGAGAGGAGCGATTTAGAGGTCCGAGGCCTGGAATGTCAGCTTGCAAACGAGGTCATGATCAGCTCAACCTGGAGGACCAGGCGGGTTTGGAAGTTCAAAAAGCAGTCACATATCAACATACTGGAGGAAGCCTCTCTCCTCAAGCTGTGCAATCTCATTGCCAAGGAGTCCACACCTATTCGAGTATGTGTGATGGTTGATTCCAACGTTGTGAAATGTGCCACCGTCAAGGGTAGAACTGCCTCTAGAGGACTAGGACCCGTACTCCGACGTGTCGGGGCACTTTGCGTGGCTGCTGGGATCTATTTGAATATCCCTTACTCTCCAACCCGTTTAAATGTTGCTGATGATCCCACCAGGGATAGGACCCCCAGACCGGCAGGTAGCTCCCTAGAGCTTTGCAGGTGGACTCGTGATGAGATTTTTGACCTGGCAGCCCTGCCAAAACTCAAGCGATGGGCATCAAACTGGGTTCGCCTGGTTTTACTCATGTTGGGGCCTCAGACTCTGAAATTGCATGACCGCAGCCTTTTTCGCCAGGGCGAGGTTAAACCTGCAGCCTGGTTTGATCATTGGAGAAACTCAAATATTGAGTTTGACAGCAGTAAAGGGTACCCAGGTGAAGGTCCAACTGCCAGCAACACCTCTTTTTTGATCTCATGTATTATTGCCTTGTTGTTTCTCGTATGCCTAACTCCCAGACCCGGCCGCTGGATTCGGAATACCGGGCCCATTTTTTCTGCGCCCCCTTTGCGTTTTTGTCTGGCTTTTTGTTCTCTGTCTTACTTCCCTTCGCTGCAGGGTGCTGTGCTTGCTGGGGTGCTTTCTAGTTCATGCATGGGAGCCATGGCAGCTCCACTGTATGCAGCAACACCTGGAGAGAAGAGAAAAGCTGCGTTGCGCAGCCAGAAAGCCCCACTGCAACTGGGACGACAGGTAACAGAGACCACAGTAAAGGCTAGAGAGCGTTTTTGGGAGGCTTTTCGAAACTGGGCTTTTGGCGCGGGCTATGACCTGGATTTTATGCTGGCGAATCATCAGGCGTGCATAGACGAGATCAACATAGTCTTGGTTAAATATGGGCGGCTTCTGTATGACGCTGGAAAATCATACTACCAATATGCAGAAACATTGAACAGTCTTTCTTCGAAGAAACCGGCGTTACGACGGATGCTGCAGCAAAGTTGGGACCTTGGGTATTCGTGGGTGCGTAGTGAACCGAGCACTCACCATGTTGCAATGCCACCTGCGATCCTCATAGCTATGATCACTCTATCTCTACTTTGGGGATGGGTGAGAGTTGCAGGGTGTTTAGCCCTTAGCTTTGGCGCTCTGCTGAGACCGGGGGAGCTCCTGGGAGCATTGCGGAGAGATCTGCTTCTGCCCTCTGATTTGGGGGGCTCCGTCCCTTTTGCATTACTGTCAATCAAGGAACCGAAGAATCGCTTCACCTATGCTAGACATCAGACAGCAAAGGCTGATAGCAGCGACCTGGTAAAAGTCATCGAGTTTGCCTTTGCCAAGATCCCTGAGACAGAGCGACTATGGCCTTTGGGGCCCCAGACGCTTCGAAATCGTTTCAAAAGCCTTTTGCGTGCCTTGCAACTGCCTTCGGAAAATCCATCACACCCGAAGGCCCTTGATCTTGGCTCTCTTCGGAGCGGTGGAGCGACTTTCATTATCCAAATGACTGAAAATGCGGAACTCTGCAGAAGACGAGGGCGTTGGGCCAATCCACGAATGATGGACATATACGTACAAGAAGTCATGGCTTTACAATACATGAAACTCCTGACTTCAAATGGCCGCCAACTGATCCTCGATGTGGCAAAGTGTTTTTCCAATGTTTTTGAGAATGCAATGCAGTTTCAGCGCGGCCAAATTCCTACCTCTCAATGGTACAATCTCTTCTCACAGTGAAAGACGACCTTGAGTCTGGAAAAAATGGGGAAAGGACTGGGAGATTGGAATGCAAGTGTTACTTGCATCTTTTCGTGGCAGCATTCACTGACAGAAGGCAATGGCCAACCATCAGTTGACTGCAGCCGTGTGGACTATGCGCACGCAGTTGGATGGAAAAGAGGAGCTGGACGAATGGATGATTCTTTATTCATGACTTCTGTGATCGTTTTTCCACCTCAAGTTCAACCCTTCCTCCCCCACCCATCACTGTGGGAGATTGGAATGCAAGTGTTACTTGCATCTTTTCGTGGCAGCATTCACTGACAGAAGGCAATGGCCAACCATCAGTTGACTGCAGCCGTGTGGACTATGCGCACGCAGTTGGATGGAAAAGAGGAGCTGGACGAATGGATATATATATATATATATATTATGTATATGGTATATACAAAGACATGTTTCGGGTAGTGAGCCCAGAAACAGGGAGAATGCCTGCGTGCAACATTGATTTCGGTGGCCCAGCTTCTAGTGGTGCTCAGCGATACCATCACTGGCAAGCAATCCATGTTAGCGTCCCATATAGAAAACCACTTTATATAATTTGCCCTTTTTCATGTGGGTTTTTACTTCTATTTTTTTTGGAGTCTCTGTACGTACATACATATATACATCCATGCAATGCATACATACATGCATAGACGCATAGATGCATAGATACATAGATAGATAGAAACATAGATAGATAGACAGATAGACAGACAGATAGATATGTAGATACATAGACAATAGATGCATAGATACATAGATAGATACATTGATCGTTATATAGATACATAGAAAAATAGATACATGGATACATAGATACATACATAGATAAATAGATCGATAGATATATGGTATACCGATCGATAGATAGATGCATACATAGATAGATACATAGACATATACATAGATACATAGATACATGCATAGATACATAGATACGAACATACAAACATACATACATACAAATTTTCACACAAACATACACATGCATGAACACCTACCGTACATACACCCATAAGGGCGTCGAAGATGTTCTTGGCCCAGGCCAAGTGGGTGCGCGAGCTTCCGCAAGAGGTGAAAGATGCCTTGGTGCCTCGTTTCTATCGGTTTGGGTTTCGAGGGTTTCGAGGGTTCATGTTCTGAACGGCTCAAAGCTGACTCAGCATCAAATTCTCAAAAGATGATGTTTGCAGAACAAGGACGATGGACATTGATATCCATATGTATTCAGTTATGACCAGATTTACATAGGATTAAACAAGTAAGTATAACTGGGCTTAAGTTGTTTGCGCCCCATAGCAATGTAAGTTCCAAGCACTGCATTGATCCCAAGGATTTATATGCTCTGAAGTTCTGCCATATGGCCCGGGAATGCCGGGAACGAAAAGGGAAATCTCCAGCGAGCGGGTCAAATAGCTTCAGTTGGGATATGTGGGACCTGGTTGTGAACCACTTAGCAAGTTTGTGTTTGTATCCTCCCAACAAAAAACTGGCAATTTGAACCACGTCCTGATTTGGTCTGTTTTAGTATGACCATACCAAACTTTTGGTGTTTGATTTGGATGTTTTTTTTTTTTAAATGAAATCATTGTTACTTTCTCAAGTCCCCGTTTTTGTTGGCTATATAATATACCCTCTGGTAAACTAACATAGCTATTGAAAATGGCCATTTATAGTGAGTTTTCCCATTAAAAATGGTGATTTCCCATAGTTATGTTAGTTTACCAGAGGGTACAATCCTTATGTTGGACAAACCCCTTTAAGACGACTGCAGGAAACCTCAGACATTTGCTGAGGTTCGAGACTTTGAGCCGAAGGAGGACTGTCTGAGAAACGCAGATAGGTCATGTGGGTAAAACAATGCTATAAACCACCCATGACTGGGAATGGTGGCCACATACCACCTATTTATAGAGATGACTGGGGTATGGTTTGTGGCATTGTTTTACCCTTACAGTAAAAGGTAGGGCAAGTGTTCACTTGGACGATTACTTTGTACTGATCGTGACTGATTGCGATATATGATTCGTAACACAGAGGGTACATGAGCTAGCAACATCAGGGTGATACTGAATGTCCTGAATTTCGCAATGTCAAATCACCCCCATTTCACGGGACTGCTAATGTCCTAACTCCACCCTGTGGAGATTTTTCAAACGCCGGGGATCAGTTGCTGATTTTTTTTCAGTGCTTAATAACCCTATCGAAAGTCCCCATTTCACGGGGTCACCAGTTACGATTCTGAGGTTGGGGACGATGGTTTGGGTACTCTCCGTACCCCGATGGGGTCATCACATTAGGGCGATTTTTTGAACCAACCAAAAAATCGGTCGGAGACATGTTAGGCGCCTGTTTTTTGTGCAAAAGCTGTGAAACTTGGCACAGTTACACTTCAATCTTAGTGGCATTCAACCTACGTTTTTACCCCAGTCAGGGGGCCAGTTACCATTTCGATAAAACCTGATGGGATTTCCAGAGTCCTTTGGATTCCGTGCATGTCATCATGGTCCAGTGGTCCAATGGTTGGCCTCAGCAGGACACGCAGAACATCACTGGCAAACTCAAGGGCTTTGCCAGATCTATCTTGAGCAGACATCAACATCATCAACATGCAGCTAGTGCTTTGTCCCAAGGTTTTTTGCGGTTGGAACTCAAGAACTTTCCCTGCTTCCAACCTGCGATGTAATAAACTAGTAACTAGGCGTCATTCTAAAGGTTGGTTGGTTGGTGTCAAGAGTGGACCTTTAAGATCTGGTATTGTCTGAAAATTTCTAAGAGATCCAAAGTCCTATGGTTGAGAACCTGGGAGGTAAATGAATGTGGCAAGCCTCGAAAAAGGATAGAGATATAAAAATACACCTCTCCCTTACAAACGTGGAATTTCGGGAACTTTTTCACCATTTCACCTTCTGCCTAGCTATTTGAGGGTCACGACTACCTATCGACCTATCCCCCATCGGCTCAATCAGGCCATGTGCCCAATGCCCATGGAGATCAGAAACCTGGCTCGGTTTTTCCAGTCGATCCTGGACGTTTTGGATGGCAATTTTTGGGATTTTAAGCATGACACGTTCGGATATTAAATGTGGTGTTTTTTTCGCCGAGTTCACCGGATTGAACCATGAGGATGTTGATTTTATCAGATTTCACCATCATAGACGGGAACAGAACCATCAAACAACGAGGGGATGTATATGAATATATATATATATATCATATACATATATTATGATGATTTATTATGTATATATTACATTTATAATATGTAGATGTATCTTACATATATATATATAAATACATATATTTATAGTATAATATACATACAGGAGTGGTAAGAATTCCAGTTCCAGAGAGCCAGAAAATGAGGCAACTTTTAGACGATCAGGTTCTCCCATGACTGGTTCCTGTATGTGTATATATTATTATCATTATCATTAAGTAATCATTATCCTTATAGTTATATATATATATAATACGATTTAGGTTACATATTAAAATGTACATTTATACCAACTATTTATTGTGATTTGGGGGATTGTTTATGGCATTGTTTTACCTACATTATATACATTTACACATTCGGATTATATAAACAATTTTAGACAATAATTTTTACGTGTCCTGACTGCTGCATACTTGGACCTCGCCCACCATTTTAATGAACTTAAGGTGACCCAGACAAACCGATGATGGAAAAGCCTGGCCACATAATTTCGATCTCTGGGAGATTTCTCAATTTCCATTCCGAGCCAGGCGCTGATGATGCCCCATTATCTTTGTCTTCGGGTTTAAGGCTGGCTACATCTAAAAAGAAACGCATATCCGAAACCAGTTGGCCAGATGATTCCCTAAACATCCCTAAACGACTAAAATCCCCAGCTTTTTGTGCCAAGCGTTTTGGAGCCACGGCCAAGGAGACTCCAGGAGTTTGTGACTCGTTGGGGCGTTGAGGAGAGCCTGGGATTCCTCCAAGGATTGCCAGCCTTGGTCCAGTCACTTGCACGGACGTTCGTAGTTTGAAATGGGATGATAAGCCATGGCCTATGATGGGATCCCCATCAGGAAAATTATTGTAACTTTTTGTTTACTGGGATGATTTGTGATAGCGATTTCCCAAATCCGATGTGAAGCTGTGCTGCTGTCTCTGATGCTTGAGTCAATCGGACCCATTTTGGAGGATCGTGAAAATGATCGGTAGTTCCAGTTCCCTAAAAAAGAAACATGTCCACTGACAGAGACAAATTTACTCGCCAACCTTGGAATTGCCAGTCAACTAAAAAAATGCAAGAAAAAAAGGTATGACACTTATTTGATGAAAGAAACCATGTTTTTTTTTTTTGTTTCTATAGACTTTCCCTTAAAGCAATCAGAATCATGTGCGGCACCACAAATCGACCCCTTTTTGGCGCTTTGTGACCTACTGAGGGCAAAGGTCATTGAGCAGTTTGATCCCAAGGGTGATACCATGAACATCAATGGCCGGCTGTGCTCCTTTGCGAGGTCGCGGGTCTGGTTCAGTGTTGAATCTTTCTGAAAAGATTCTGTCAGGTTATGTTTTGTTCTTTTGAGAGCATTGCTTTTGATGGTTAGAACCTCATTTTTCCTATTCAGATCGGCAGCACAAACCCCATTTTCAGACAAGCCCATGTAACAGTGACCCTGTGAAACCAATTCTCACCCTCTGTCGATGGCAATGAACAAGTCCGTTACTGCGGGCCACCCAGTGCACCAGACATTGAGCTTCCCATGTCAGGGAATTCTTGGGTATAACAGTATAACACCTATCAACCACTGGAAATTGACTTGTGACTTAGAGATTTTGCAGCTCCTCCTCGCCAGATCGGTTGCGGAGCGGATGAATCTGCCAACCAATGCGGCGGCAGTCCAACAGCAGCCGCTGGGTATGATGCAACCGCAGATGCAAACGCAGATGCAACCCATGATGCAACCCATGATGCAGCCCATGATGCAACCCATGATGCAGCCCATGATGCAGCCCATGACGATGGATCCTCTGAATGCTTTCTTTATGACCCAGATGCCGCAGGTTCCGAGACCGGGGGAGTGTGTTGGAGTGAAGTCTTGAAGTGCTTGCAAGTTGTACTGTTTAGTGGCATCTCCATAAACTGGAACAGTCGAAGGGGACATGATTGCTATCATTATCATTCTTATAATTCTATATATTACGTATTATCCATATTATATATATATATTATAGACGCATCTATACGCACAGTATCATTATATAATACCGACATACAGTATAGTTATGTCCATCCCCACTCATCGAATTTCAGGCCCAAGTGCCTATGGCCATGGCCTGCGGCGGCTGTGGCATGGCCCCCATGGCCCCCATGCAGGGTGCCTTTCAGCCGGCGGCCGATCCCATCAGCAGCTTCCGCAGTCGCTGGGCCTTGACGGACCAGTCGCGGCAGTTCCTGATGCAACTGCCACAGGACGTGAAAAAACGAGCCGCTGTCATGGTTGTGGCTGGACAATCCCCATGAAGAATGTCATGATTTTATTGGGAAAATATGGGAAAATATGGGAAAATATAGGAACATATGGGAAAATATGGGAACATATGGGAAAATATGGGAAAATATGGGACCATGCGTTGCAAATGGAGGTTTCTAGTTGGGAACATCATCTATAGATGGTGGATTTTCACTTGCGACCTTTGATTATTGGAAGGTTTTTTGTTGATATAAACACAATAATAAATCGACCATTAGGGGATTGAATCCCAGCCATTTATGGTCATATTGGGAATGGTGTTTATACTTGGGCTTACCACATTGTACATAAAAGAGGGATTATATCCTAAGGATGATCGGATGAATGTTTGTTTTCGCAAAGTAGGACCCTTCTGAAATTCTGAAATACTGTGGATGGGCCAGCGAAGTTGCGAAATCCTGCACCATTTTTTGGTAGATGGTAAACATCCCATTATAATCCCATTATTTAGAGTGTTTTATAGTTACCAGTAGTTACCAGCTGGTGCAGGATTTCCCAACCATCCACAGTAATGAAAAATTACACTAAACATCCATCTATTGATTGTTAGTTTCTTAACCATTATTAACCATGATTAAGAATTATTCAACATGAATTAACCATTAATTAACCATTAATTAACCGTTAATCAACCATTATTAACGATGATGAATCAATATCTATAAACCGGCGTGAATTTGATGCTCATGTGGCGCCAGGACGTCCAGAACATCGTTTTAGCTGAGTTCAGCCCTGCAGCTGGCACGGCCAATCTGGAGGCTTTACTGAAAATTGCCATTTTTCAGAGGTACCATGGGGAAAACATGGGAAAACCATGGGGAAAACATGGGAAAACCATGGGAAAACCATGGGAAAACCATGGGAAAACATGATAAAACCAGGTAGATCATCCAACCAAATGGACCATCTATACCATAGCAAACTGTTAGTTTGTACCAGAGCGTAGCCAGGAAGAACTTGTAAGAATGCCAGAAGATATGGGTTTGACCAAGCATCAGGGATCGCCTTGAATAGCAAGATTTTCAGACACCCATGCGAACTGCACTCTGCTACTGAGGATGGCAAGCTTCAAACCTTTGCCCGAAGTCGCTGAGCCAAGAATTATGGGGACATTCACCCATCAAATATAGGAATCTAAACATGTTTAAGCTGGACACATCCGGAAACGATGCTTTGAAACGAGGTGAATCAAGCTGGTTTTGGAACGCAGCGGCGTCTGCAGTGGGGCCCGGAGCTGAGGTGTTTTGGAGCGCTTTCAAGATGCTCATCCTCAACAAGGCCATCCAGCAGCTTAGCCGCAGCCCTCCTGGGAATCCTGGGGTCCTGATGGGTCCTGTCTGCAACCCCCATTTCTGCTTTGTTGTTGAGTATCCCCCTTTGGTTCCATTCCTTCTAATCATTATTCAACTGTTTTTGATCAATCTATTCCCATTGCCTTGGTAAGTATTCATTTTCTTCGTTGCATTCCATTCGTTCTTAGTTCAGTTGCAGATGTTGTTGGTAAACTCCCATTTTGTGGCTAGCAGCTGAGCTTCCGATTTTTTGGGGTCGCCGAGTCCCATTTGGAGATTGGTTGTATCGCATGAAATGCATGGAATTCCATGCGGGACTGCAATCTGCTGCGTTGTTTCGGCGCGTGTTTTTCGCAAAACTGCGCCAGCATACAAAAGATTGATATTCCCGGCGTTTAATTACATTTTTGCGCTTACCTAAGAAGGTGCCCAAATCACCTGTGGAACCATGTCTTAAACATATTCTCCATAAATTTGCTATACTTCCAGCCGTGAACTAAGACCTTAACAAACCGTAAAACTTTGAAAGAACCCGAAAATAACCCAACCCTAAATAAACCACAAACAAACCCTAAACCAACCCTAAATCAAACACAACCTAAAGAAACCCTAAAACAACCCTAAATAAACCTTAAAAACAACCCCAGATAGCCAGCACCACACATTACTTAAACAAACCTTATATAGATCCTGAATCAACCCTTCCAGAATATCCAACTAAACCCCCAATTCAACTTTGGGCGAACGTCTCCCATGGCACCGAGGTTGTGCACTCCTCCAACCCTCAGGTGGCCGAGTTTGCACGTCGATGGAGCCTAGATGAGGACGGTTTTGGTTTACTGGGAAGTTCATGTTTTTTTTTGGGAAATCAACTATATGTATTACTGGGATCGATCTAAGCAACAGGGTCTTTGGGTATGTCTGAACCTGGGGTAATACCCACCAAATGGCCTTTTGGTTGTAGACAAGTCTGTGGAAAACCAGTGGATTTAATGGGATAAGCCACAAAAAGGGGACCACAGACAGATCAGTTACGATTTCTGGGAACAGGGCCCAAGAAGATCTGGGAAAAGCATCCATTTTACCGCTGAAAATGGGCTGAAGATAGTATTCATAAATAGGAGCTCATGGTGGATATCGATGCTCGCATCACCCAAAAAAAATCCTCCCATGACGCGAAAATTCATAGATCCAATACCTTCCGGTGTTTCTAGGAGGGTATTCAATATCGGGGGGAATGGATTAATAGCATGGGAAACCTTGGATGGTTACTTTCATCTTGTGCTTTTTCAATGGTGCTAGACACTCAGCAAATAAAAAACATGCAGGGTATCCAAGCGAGGATATGGGGAATTCCATGGATTTACGAGGAATTGATGGGAATTTTCGCATAAGATGATGGTAAGATGATGGATAATTACGAATAAAGGAGGATCATGGGATGCAATAGTTATCATCCCCGGTTTTGATTTGTTGGCTATACCCCCTTGGTGTAATGGGAGGATGTGAAAATTCTGATTCGCAGCCGTTGGTTGAATGTGGTGGATTTTTTCAACCCTGGTTGGAACTACAGATTTGGATACCGGATACTCTTTACAGCATCCGCAAACCACTTGTGACACTGGGAAATTTTTAGGGGTTCCCACATTTTATGCCGCTCTTGAGACCTCTTGAGTCTTGAGTGGGTACCCAACTGGTTCCAGTAGACGACGTCCTAAATTCGGAGCATGTCTGCCTGGAAAATAATTCCCATTGATATGGTTTTGGGGCCACCCAAGTTGCTGTTCAAAATCCCAATATTTGTGAGTTCAATCCTGATTTCTGGTTGGCTGAATCCACCTGTTTTGGTTTCGTTGAGTTGAAACCTTGACTTCGTTGGTATGACCGCCCATCAACAAAATGAATCAAAATGAATTTTCCTTTTTTTAAATCACAAAAGATATTCCCAGTACTGTAAATGCTGGGTATATCGACATCCTCATTTTTGTTGGCAAAATTTTCTGTCATCCCTACGTACATAAATATTGCTATAAACAATAAAACATCTGCACGCAATAGTTTTTTTTTGTCTTCTTTGCCATGTGCTCTGCTTTGAGCGAAGGCGGCTTGGGCTAAACAAAAACACAACAAAACAATTCCTACGAGTGTTGGGTGTAAATCACATAGCGAAAGCACATCCTTATGATAATCCCGTTGTCCACATAGCAATCGCATCATATATAATTAATCCGCAAAAATCGCAAAAGTATTCGCATAAATGACAAGAGCCCTTGACAATATTCCAATAAGTATCAAGAATCTTCATCCATATTCCCACACGTGAAACTAATCCGTATCACTATTCCCATTGTTGATAGATATTAAGGACCCCTATAAGTAGCCACACAAAGAAAAACACTTCCTACAATAAGAAATTCCTAGACATGTATCTCAGAATTGGATCGAATTCGTTTGGGGGAAAATCTACAGGAGACCGGACACCCCTATATTTGGAGGTAAAAACCATCGTTTCATGCCTAAAATCTCCGAGATAAATCCCTTCATTGCTGATAGAATCGGAATGAGCATCCAAAAATAGGCCGCAGCATTCCTCAAAAATTCTCGTTTTTGGTTGGTGGTTTGGAACATGAATTTTATTTTCCCATAATATGTGGGAAGAATAATCCCATTTGGTTAAAGCCACCAACCAGGAGGCGGTGACTTTTCTAGAGACGCTGCCCGAACAGACGCGACGTCGCTCGGCACACGCGTGGAAACACGCGAAGGATGGAAGGTGGTCAGGTCATGGTGTTCTTATTTTCCCGTTTTTTGTTGGATGCTCATCCATTTTCATAAGGATTTTTAAAAGATTTATGGACATCGGATACATGAATATTGACATTATATATATATAATATACACATATATATATACATATATATATATACACATACATATATATATATATATACATTATACATATATATATACATTATACATATATATATATATTTGGTGAATATGGATAATATGGTGGATATGACTATCCTAATATGAATTGACTATGAATATTACCCTCTGGTAGGTCTAAAACTTGCTGGAAAATCTCCCATTTTTACCGGCAATTTCCTATTGCCACGTGTGTGTTTATCGGAGTGCATTGAGATATATGGAGATTATGGTGCTCAGAATTGCATCTTAGATGATTGTGATCATTATCATTATTATTACTTGATTTTCATTATCAGTAATGAGATTATGATGATATCTGATAATTGTGATCTAATCTCATTTATCATCATAATGATCAGATATCATAATCGCCATAGTTATGATCTTATCATTCGCGTTATCATTAGATGCTGCGCAGATCCAGCAGTTTCCACTTGGGGCTGTCACCAGATGAGGGGAAGGGATGAATCAATGGTGATAGAATGGGTCAAGTCACCTATCGTTACCATATTTTGGGGAATAAGCATCCATAAAGATCCATTTTTGGCTATTTGGGGGTAGGGTACCAGGGTTTTGACGGTCAAAAACCCATTAATGATGCAGTAAGAATCAAAGCAGTGCTGAAAACAGTGATGAAAATAGTGGTACGAATCAAGCATAATGGTGAACATGAAATTACAACAATCAAAATAACGATGATTGATAACAAGAAGAACAAAGATGATTTTGCATAATTTTTAAACTATGGTATTGGAAATATGTCTACTTTGACATTTCCTCATGTTGTTGTTGATGTTGTTGATGATGATGAAGAACAACGTCGGTGATTTACTTAGAAGATTGTGTCGGAGCTTAAACATGTGGCTTTCCCACCAAACATGCTTTGACATTTTGGAATATGTCCGATTGTGATCATATGCTGACGCTTTTTCAGGACCACTCATCTAGCTGTTGAAGAAACTTCAGCATTTCACAGTGCCATGTATCTCAACTCCCAACGCGACTGTTTATGGCATCTTTACACCCAAAAGAAGGCACATTTATCACATGTCACCAAGTTTCCACCGTTTTTTCCCACTTCAGAGCTATCTCTGAAAATGTTGGGGAAACCACCACATCTACGTGGTGTAATGATCATGAGCTTCTTATCTAACAGATGGATCAAAACCTATGAGTTGCCTATCCCCTTATGGCCGTCGCCGCCGTAGCTGGCCGTAGCTGGGTCCCCAGATACAGTGCTGGCAGAGTTCCAACCGCGCTTGGGCACGCGGAACATGACGGGAAAGCTGAAAGCCTTCGCCAGCACCGTGATGGGAGCGCAGGGTGCGGGGTCTGCTGGGGTCTGGTGGTGCTGACCCACGGTAAATTGTCCAGTTTTGAGATTAGGGGATGGTCATCAATCCATTTTCAGAAGTTTTTTCAGCGACGTTTGGAGTTACAAATTGGGGAGCCACATCAATCCCAGGTTTTGACCGGCATATCCTATAATTTCACATGACTATCAATGGGATAAACATTTTCCACGTAAACCTCGGTGAAGTTTTGGCTTCTCACCCATTGAAGCTGGGATGGCAGTAGGCTGGGTGTCACTGAAGGCAGTAGGCCTTGCACCAACTCAGAGGGCTATGCAGGGAGTTCAGGTTGAATTATCTTGGATGCCCAGGTTTTGGAACTTTATAAGATTGAGAACTTTATCAGAAACCCCCCTTTATCAGGTTTTGGATCCCAACTGGACAGGTTTATGATGAAACCCCCACCATAGAACTATGGGTCCATGGTCCTTTATGGGGTTTCTAAAGGTTGGGGGGTTTCTGATGGTCTTGATATGGGTGTGTGTGGGACCCAACTGCCTTTAGAAGCCTATAACATTGAACTCTGTGAACATTCATGGTGATTTTGAATTTTGAATTACCTAAAGAAGTGGGATGCATATCCAAGTTTCAAGACATCTGGGAATGCTTGGGATGACATCTGGGAAATCTTGAACAGTGGGGATTTGGCGGGGATACAAGCAGCCAATGGCAGGGACGCAGCACTTCCCTACCATCTCAGAAAGTGGCAATTTTCATAGGACAAGATCCCGTCCCCAGACCCCTGCATCTCTGAGCACAAATGCTTTCATTTATATGTATAAATAAAGTTCATATATATATATATACACCCATATATATATATACATATACATACATACACATTTCAAGTATCTACGCATGTATGTGTATATGTATATGTATATGTATATATGTATATATGTATATATGTATATATGTATATATGTATATATGTATATATGTATATATGTATATATGTATATATGTATATATGTCTATATGTATATATGTATATATGTATATATGTATATATGTATATATGTATATATGTATATATGTACATATGTATATATGTATATATGTATATATGTATACATGTATATGTGTATATGCATATGTATATATGTATATGTATATGTATATGTATATATATATACACAGACACACATAATGCCTAGCAGCGACTATTGGGTGTCAATCTATCTGGGTCTAGGAATGGTGCGTCATTTGTCAAGCCGTTTGAAACCGGATGGAACCGGAACGACGGAACCTTGAAACCCTGGAACCGGCTATTGGGTTAAAAAGCTGGGTTTATCATTTTCTATCGATTTACGTCCATAGACACAGCCAACTTATACCACGGTCAAGGGAGCGATGTGACCCCATTGCCGTTATCGGACCTGCACTTTTGGTGCAGGGTATCAAAACAGTCGACCGCCTGATGGAGCAGGATCTGTGCGCGGGGACGGTGTGAGAAATTTGAAGGATTGTTCGTCCTTGGACAATTGAGTGGTGCCCAAGCTATACCAATGGATAGATTCTGAAATAGGGGCTATACACCTGGTTTATTGGGGATTATCAGCTGACCCATGATGGGAACCTCTTTTCGAACCAGCCGGTAGAATGTGATTCTACCTATAAAAAGGGGCATTGGATGGATGCCTTGGATCATGGGCCACATGGGCCATGGGTTGGGTGGGCTCTTTGTCAAATGTTTCTAGCGATAGAAAGCTGTCATGAGTTGGGACTCGTCGGATGAACAGTCGTTACAGTCGTTGGTGGTTTGAACCATCGTTTCTGGGTTCATGTGGTTCAAACAATGCCATTTTTACCACCCATGACTGGGAATGGTTAATCGCCATGTTGGCGAATGTCCACATTTCTATCCAGCCCAGGAGCTGCTGGTGGATCTGGTGGATCTTTGGACCTTGGGGAATTGGCATTTCTGCAGAAGTGGGGCATTGAGAACAATCTCATGGTGAAGGCCGCCCCAAGTGGCCAAGAGACTTGTGGGATATGGAGATATAGACATAGATAGATATAGCTCTAGATATAGATAGATATCTGTCAGATATCTAGAAATGGTAGCTTCCTAGCTTGAGACCGCCACCTTATTCATATATTGTTTACTAGTTTTGCAGTGTTAATTTTCATTTTCGCTAAGAAAAATGAGATACTAAGTATGGTGAAGGAGATAGAAAACTGAGGGGCTCCACTATATGCGGCACTCATTCTGCATCCTGATGTACTTTTCTATCTTTGGGGGAGATGTACACAAATATAGGCACGACCTAGCTTTTGTCTGCGGTTGTTGGAGACTTTCTTTGGGAAAAAACGGGGAAAAGTCCTGGTGATTTAGGACGGTCGGAGGGAATGAAGAGAATCCCTACCCCCCAAGGCCCTACAGTTGCAACCTGGTTTACAATCCCTCCTTTCTTTCTTTCCATCATAGATCCATCCGTTCCCCTGTTTGCCTATGGTCTATTCTATTTTTTCAGCATCGAGATGGACTTGTGGTAGCCCCCCAGCTATGATGCTGTTGATGCACAATGAACATCGATAGATGTCCTGATTAACATCCCTATGTTTTTTGGAGCGTATCCCAGCATGTCCAGTTTCGCTTCGCGAACTGGTGATTGTAGGTGCATATTGACATAGCAACTGAATTGCAACACCCATTTAGCTATATCCGCTGCGAGTTTTTCTTACTACCTAACCCAGCGGAAAAAATCAGACACCCTCCGGTAGTGAGACCCTCATTGTTCGACCGTCTCTCCGACTTCAGTTGCTGTTGGATGACCGGTAGCCAGGAGACGCTGTGCACCCTGACGCCCGACCAGCGCTTGAGGGTTTTGAGAGATTTCGAACCAGCAACGGACACCATGGATGTTGGATGGCCCAGGGGAAAAAGTTGGGAGGAATTCCGGACAAAAGAATCCACACACTGGGAATTCCATTCTGAATATGCCCATGATCCACTTCTGAATATCCCCAAAATGAGGAAAAACATCGAGGACAACACCATTTGGTGGGATAAAACACCATGGTTTCTGGGATCTTCCCCAATCCATTGAATCATGATAATCATGGGGATGGTCACCTTTGAGGGCTTCGGGCTTCTCAACATGCCTCCAAATCCACCAAGGAGGTGTCTATTTTAAAAAGGGAAGCCACGAAATTTTTAGGTCATCCATTCAAAAACAATGGCACACATGTTTTCATAAAATTTCAATTCCTTACATTGATTACACTCAATCATGACTTTTGCAATTCCTAAGATTAATGTTCTTCCGAATTTGATGTTTATCATCATATTTCCCATTACAAGACCTGTGAACTCGGGTATACTATACCACCATTTTCAGATAGACACACATAATATGAATGTATATATATATATTTAAACTACGGTAAATACCATGTTTATTGCGCTCCCGGGATATTTACAATATCATACACATCGATAAGTTAGATTAGTATCTTGCCATCACGGTAGTAGCATTGGTTAAGTCAACATATCTCAAAATCCTATTCAAGATTTCCTGTGAATATCCCGGCAATTCAAATGCCCCATGCTGATGATCAAATCTGGCCCGCTTGGAAATCCCTAAAATATAGCAAGCCATGTCTGATTACCAGAGGGTAAACATCCACGGTGCCTAGTTACAATCCAACTTAGCTAACGAACTGGGGCACAAACTTGTATATCCCATTCTATCGACATTTTATCCGACTATCCTGTGATTTGGTTGTTGAAATCCCTCACATCCAATTTTTGTTGGTTAGATCCCAATTATATATATATATATCACCATCAAAAGGTTGGCTTACCCCATTACCTACAGTTATAATCACCAATGTTTATTGATTAAAACCCGATATTTTCTGATTATTCACCATTAAAACCCAATATTTTCCCATGATTTCCCATGCCACTACCATTTGTTACAGCACTCCCCAATGCCCTGCCATGGCTTTCGCATCGCTCCCCAGGTGGCTGCGAAGCTGTGCAGCTTCGCGAAGTCCGTGGCGCGGGGGAAGGGCAGCGGCAAGGTGCGGTGGAAAAAATCGGTGGTACCATGGGACTGCTCAGTCATAAGATGTGGAAAGTCCATGGTGAAATCCGTTCGGAACATGATATGTGTATATACATATATATGTATATATGTATTATGTATATATATATATATATATGCATATTATATATATATACACAAACAATGGTAGGTTTTCCACATCTATCTAAGTATCTATGTATGTTTACGGGAGGTACCCATCCGTGAATTAGATAGGGAAATCCCCTTTTTGGGCCATGGATAGGTGAAGTTTCCAGCCAGCTGAGTGGTGGGATTACCCTCTGGTAAACCATGGGGAAACCATGGGAAAACCATGGGAAAACCATGGGAAAACCATGGGAAAACCATGGGAAAAAGGTGATTTATATGGAAAACCACAATTTTTTAATGGGTAAATCAACTATAAATGGCCATTTTAAATAGCTATGTTAGCTTGCCAGAGGGTATTCTAATGGCAGTATGAGGATGGATTGTCAGGAGCCAACAGCTGGACCCCTAGAAACACGATGTTTTTAAAGGAATGTAATCTTCTTTAACCCTCTATTTGGGAGGGTCTATGTTAGTTGGAGGAAGGGTATAATGGATATATAATGGATATTGGCATACGAATACTAATACCAATACTAATACCAATACTAGTACGAATGCGAATACCTATACCTTTACCTATACTATATATATATATATATCCATAGGAATATGTACATATAATATATATAAATATGGTATATATATATATATACACATACATAATGCTGGGAGGTGCAATTGGGATGATTCATGAGTGATCGGGTCATGGAGAAACAACTATATCCCCATGGGCGAACAAGTGGAAAACCTTCTATGTACTACATCACATGTTTAACCAGTGGGTTAAATTTCACCAAACCCTGTTATTGGTCGTTTCAAACATATACCATTGAGTTATTGGATGCTTTTGGTAGATGGAAATGGTAAAGACAGCTAGGGTTGAATACCAGTAGGGAATTGGGTATTCAAGAGTCAGCTCCAATCCCGTTCCCAGCCAGTTGATGGTAGTTCCAAAATATCTAACGAATCTAACGGTGACGAAAAATTGGGATTTGGGGGAAGGTTAGTGCAGTTAGAACCCCCAAAATGCAGCGTTTCTGCCTGCCGAATGGATGGTGCTTGATAAAAAGTGCCATGATTTCCCCGAAGCCCCACAGGGTCCTGGCGGCATGAAGCTTCGGTAAAATTTCAGGGGCTGGGAGGCTGTGGGTATTGAAAAGATGAATGACTAAGGAGGCTTGTTCAGCCATGTTAGAAAGGTTGCCCAAAATCATATCCAAGAGTACAGTTGTTTTTCAACGCATTTTTGAGGTTCACTCTGATGAGATTTGTATAGAATTTAGAGTTAAAGACCTGAGTACCTCAAAAGCGCAATAGCTAAGTTCCAAACTCTGTGGTTTGCTGGGCCAATTTTCATCAATTCAGAACTTATTTGATGATTCAATCTCCGTTTTTGATGCTCAAATCGTATTTTCTTGATGTTCAAATATGTTCAAATTCAAAATTGACATTTAATCAATGGTCATTTCAGGAACCGATTGATTGGAGGTACCTACCATTAATATAAGGCCTATGTAAGCCATTCAAACCTTTTTGTTTGATGATAGGAATTTCCAGTTGATGCTCTAATCCCTCGATGGACAACTCACCAGATGGATTGGTGACGAAAAAAGCCCACATTCTTGATGGATAGGTGATCAAGGTGATCAAACTCCATTCTTTTATGGGTAAGAGGATAAAAATCCCACTGAGTAAGTGGTTATATAATACTTAATATCCATATTCTCAGTTGGGGGTTTCCATAAATTGGGGTACCCCCAAAGTTCGCTGGACGGTTTATGAAAACATGGACCATCCCATGTTTCAATGGAGGATCTGGGGGTCCATACTGCGCAGAAACCATGGGGACTGAGGCCTGTCTTCAAGCGTCCCGCGGAGGGTGACCTCGGGCCAGATCCCTTGCGTCCGCGGCTGGCGTAGGAAAAAGCAGTCCAAGCGCGAAAGGATGGTGCTCCCAGAAAAAATCATCGGGAAATGGGGCAAATCGGTGCTTTTCTATGGTGTGAAAAGATCGGCTAGTTTTACATGGGGGCACAAGACACGAAACACCTTGACCACCATTTGCGCTGGCTGTGGCTCTTGTTTTTCAATCCCTTACGCCGAGAATGATTTGCCAATGAGAATTTGTCGTGTTTTGTGACAACGAAATAAAAGTACCTCACATCCACTGTAAAATCAACTCTCCCCAAAATCTGCAGAAGCAATAATAGTGACCATAAGTTGGGAATGGGGCGCCTTTATGCTTGTAAGTTGGTGTATAACCACCGAGAACTGAACTAGTTCAATATACCTACCCTAAATCCAATCACCTGAAAACCAACTCAGCGTTCACGACCTGGGGCACCCTCAAATAGCCCTGCAAATAGGAGATACTTGAAGATTTGATGCCTGTGACTCTGCTTCCATTGAAAAGGTCATGTTTTATATAATTGCGCTCAAAACATGGGGAATCGTCCCATGGATCAACATTTGAGTCTCAAGATTGGATGGTTTCGTACCGGAACACCATTTGTGTTTTGCAGGTCGGGGCTTCCATGGCAGAAAACGCTTGTGAACCGGCACCGGCTCAAGCACAGTGGGCGCTGGAGCCCTAGTTTTGTGACGTTCCGGTGACCCGGGCGGGAGCCCTCAGCTGCTTCTTTCTTGGTGAAGATCCTGCAAATCCTGCACGGACGGTAATGGATTTTGCAATGGGTCTATCAAATGATCAAGTTCAATGTTCAACAGCTTCAAGTCTTCCACTTATTTTTCAGCTCAACCTGGTGTTCCTAAAATCGAACTGTCTATGCAGTTTCACATCCCTGGCACGAGACTCGCATCGGCTTGAATTGTTCAAAAGCACCCCAACTCTAGCCACAAACCCCACAGCACTGTTCGCCCGCAACGCGCCCCGCGTCGACCGTCGCGTCACGTTCGCGATGGTCACGGTGAATGCAGACCCTTATGGTATGCCACAGGGCGCCACCACGACGCAGCTCGGATAATCCGATGGGTTGGTGCGAGCGATCAAAAGAGAATGACCTGGATGTCGACAAACCAATACTTGGCCATAATATGTATGTATGTGTATATATATATATGTATATATATATATGTATATATATATATGTATATATATATGTATATATATATATATATCTCCACATACGCAACATATATGGTAGTCCTCAAATAAAGTGGATGAGACTTGAGTATCGAATAGAGCATCCAGATGATTTCTGACAGTTTCAGCGATGGTTTTTATGGTGTGATTGGCCTCAGACTCAGTTCTTTGGGAAGAAACATCTAAAACATCTACGAATGCTGCATTTCCATGAATTTCAGTTATACCTGTATCAGAGACGTTAGCAACGTAGAGTTTGGGGCTGATCCAGAATTGGTTGAAGTTTTAGTGGAAGTTTCCGTTATATATAACAAGTTATATACAATATATATATATAATATAATATTGTTCATCATTTTGGAACACATCACTCCATGTGCAATTTCAGCTGTGATCTTTGACTGCTTGCATGCAGCCGTTTTTCGTATCAAAAAGACGAGGTGCGTTAACGGGCGGTGTTGGTGAGGAGATCGGAATTTGAAGAGGGGCACAAATCCGAGAAGTGTAACCCCAGAGAGCAGCCTCTAACCTGCTCTCAACGAGACAGGTTATGAGCCCAAGGTGGCGCTAATGGATCTTCTTAGACATAGAAGAGCAACCCAAGAGGAGTTGAATGAAGGGATGAGACAAATGAGAGAAGCGCAAGATCGGTTTTCTAGGGAAAGAACTGAGGAAGCTATAGAAGATCAACAGAATCCAGCCAATCAAGGTCAGGAGATTTTTGAAGAACCACAAAGCCCAAAAAATGAGTCCCCTAGAGTAGAAGAGACTGCGATAGAGGATCAGAAAGTCCCCGCCGTTGAGGATGTTTCCAAAGAAGTTGTAGAAGAATCTCCAAAGGGTTCAGTTCAGAAATCCCCCAATCCTGCTGTTGCTCCGACCACTCCAGCTGTCCGAAGTGGAGCCAGTGGGAAAGGAAAGGGAAGTGAAAGCCAAGAAGTTCTGCAAACGCCTCAAGCTGTTCCAAATGGAGGAGCTGGGAATGAAGGTGACGCTCAGGCCGACAGGTCTGGCAGGGCAGATTTAGGACCTGCACTGACTAGGTCCCAGCCCAGGTCACAGCCCATGTTCACACCACTTTTCAGTGAGCAGCAATTGAGACAGTTTGAGGAGCTTCACAATAGGGCACCATGGATTTATGGAGCAGATTTGGGAACATCTAGACCTAATTGGTTGGAGATGGAAGACAGAAGGCTGCTTGCTCTTCAGGAAGAGCGAGATCGTTTGCGTCTGGAGTCTGAGGCAATCAGGTTTCGCCAAGAAGAGGAGCGACAGAACCTTTTGCTAAGGCTCAAAGTTTTGGAGGAAGAGAATCGTTTGCTGAAGTCTGGGAACGACAGGAGTTCCATCTATGGCACTCCTGAGGGTTCAAGGAAAGATCGAAAGGAGGCTGCAGACCCCCGAAAGCCCGAAGCACCAAAGGAGGCTGCAGACCCCCGGAAGTTTGAAGCATCAAAGGAGGCTGTAGACCCCCGAAAGCCCGAAGCATTAAAGGAGGCTGCAGACCCCCGAAGGTTTGAAGCATCAAAGGAGGCTGTAGACCCCCAAAGTTTTCATGAAGCCCAAAGGCCGCCAGATTCAAAGGAGGCTGAAGACCCCCAAAGGCAATGCGGAAGTTCAAAGTCTGCAGAGGACGCAGGAGAGCCAGAGATCAGAATGATGATGAAAGGCATGATGAAGCTCATGGAGGGCATGCAGGTGCTGCAATCTCAGATTGTGGACGCAAAGAAGTCAAAAGACATGGAGATCGTCAAGGGTGCAATTCCAGATTTGCCCCGTCTTTCAGAGTGGAAGGCTGAGACGGCGCCTTTGGATCTCACTGACTGGCTTTTGACAATTGAGCCAGCTATGGGAGATCTTTCTGACACCTCTCAACAATGGTGGGAACAGATGCTGCAATCCGCCCGAAGTTGGTACATTCAGCACCAAGAGAAGACCCCCTTAGAGAAGGTGAAGCATAAGCCGCAGGTTCCAGAAGACCTGCAACATCCCAGGTACCAAAGACTCGAGAAGAGAGTCACTGCTCTTCTCATGGCTGCCATACCGCAGTCTCAGCAGGAAGAAGTGGTTGCTTCGAAGGAGGTGACTGCCATCAACGTGTTGGCTCGGCTGATGACGTGCTATCAGCCTGGTGGCCTCAGCGAAAAAGGAGCCATTTTGTCGGCTCTGGACTCTCCAGAGGAAGCTGCTGGACTTTCCCAGGCAGTTACAGGCCTTCGTCGGTGGCTTCGTTGGCATCGACGAGCTGGCGAAATAGGAGTCGTTCGACCTGACTCCACAATTTTGGTGAAAGGTCTTGGCCGCTTGACAAAGAGGGTGTTGAGAGACAACCCAGATCTTGCATTTCGCATTCAACTGGCAAAGTCGTCGCTGCAGATCGACACAGCACCATGCGAAGAGTCAGTGATGACGTTTGCACATCATTTGCTTGCGGAATTTGAACAGTTTGCACATCAAGATCGACGGAAGCGTGAAGATGCAAAGAATGCTCAAGAAGCAAAGGCCAAAAGATTTGAGGAGAATGGATCTGGAGGAAAAAGTGCAGAGGGCAAAGGAGGGAAGGGCGAGAAGACGTCTACTCCACCATGCAAGTTTTTTCTTTCGGATGGAGGATGCAAGAAAGGAAAGAGTTGCAGCTGGTCCCATGTCACCGACGAGAAGCGTCGATGCTGGATTTGTGGATCAGTCGCACACCTAGCGCCAGCTTGCGATAAGCCACGAGAAGCTTCGAAGGAAAATGGAGAGAAGTATGGAAAGGGAGCAGAAGGAAAGGGAAGCCAGAAGATGGTTCAAAGACAAGAGAAGAAAGAAGAAGGAGCAGCAAGGACTGAGGAGCTTCCTCAGCCAGAAGCACCATCTGAGGAGCCGTCTTCTACCTCAGCTGAGATGAAAGGGCTTTTGGAAGAGGCAACGAAGATGTTGAAAGGTTTGACTATGCAGTCAAATGAGAAGGAGCAGAAGGGCAGGCAAGATCGTCTTGCGGCCATGCAAGATCAACTGGATGAGCTTCGAAAAGTCAAGGTTTTGAAGATTTCAAAGATGGAAAGAGAAGGAACTGTCTATGGACTTTTGGACAGTGGTGCAACTCATCCAATGCGAGCTGCACGACCAGGCGAAGATTTGTCAATGTGTGAAAACGTACGTGTGACCCTTGCGGATGGTCACCAAGTGGATATGGTGATGACACCGAAAGGAATCATGGTCATCGAGGATGGCAACGTGGAACCCATTGTTCCTATGTCATTGCTAGCAGGAGAGCTTGGATATGTCATCACATGGAAAGAAGGGTCTATGAAAGTGGAACATCCAAAGAAGGGTGCTTTGAAGGTCGTCATGCGGAACGGGTGTCCGCAGATCCCAAAGAAGAAGGCACTTCAGCTGATTCAGGAGTTAGAAGAAGGAAAGAGGATGAAGAAGATACAAGAGGAGGAAAGGAGTGCTGAGGAGAGGTGGCTTCAACAGTTGGTGAAGGCACATCCAGTCTTGAGGGAGCTCCCACAGCACATTCAGCAGAAGTTGGTGGTCAGCCCGGCAGAAGATTTGTCGTCCATTCCGGGCTGCAACAGAAGAAAAAGGAAAAAGATGAAAGAAGAAGGTTTTGTAGCTCACCTTTATGCAGGAGAATCAGAAGGATACTCCTTGGCCAGAGCCTTCAAAGAAGTGGGTGGCGATCCAAACCTTCTTGTGGAGATAGACATCAAGAGAGATTCAGAAGAACGACATGGAAGATCACATGACATGCTGAGAGATCATGATGGTCCATATCCATCGCTTTTGCGAGCTGCGCTGGATGGTGGACTGAAAGCCTTGGTGATGGGCCCGAATTGCCGAACACGGTCTGTGTTGCGGCACTACCCTCTTCCTGTTTCAGGGGGAGGACCAAGGCCAGTTCGGTCTTGGGAGGAGCCGTGGGGGAAGTCAACCAACACGGCAGAAGAGCAGAAGAAAGTTGTGGAGGACGATGTGCTTCTGTGGAGAGGGCTGATGCTCTACATCGTGCAGGAGGAGATCAGAAGGGCAGTTGGTAAGGGAGAGGAGTCAAAGATGAAGTTGGCACTTGAGCAGCCAGCAGATCCCTCTCACTATGTCCCTGAGGTGGTGTCTTTTTGGGGCACCAAGGAATGGAAGAAACTGCAGAATATGTACCAGCTTCAGGAACAGACCTTCCGCCAGTCCAGTTTTGGAGGTCGGGCAGTCAAACCGACCACTTTTGGAGGAGATCTTCGCCTGTGTGTCCCACAACTGCATGAAGAGATTCAAGAGGAGGAAGTGAAGCCTGTTGCCTCGTCTCAGGACTTGGCCAGATGGGCCCCAGGTCTTATGAGGCAAGTTGCAGAGAGTCTTCAACAGGCAGTCATGGCGAAGAAAGTGCGTTATGCGAAGATGAGCTGGGAGGAGCACATACAGAGAGGACATACACCTTTCAGAAGAGACTGCCAGGTTTGTCAGGAAGCTTCAGCGAGGGGGAGAATGCATTCAAAAGTCAGCCATCCACGAGCTGGAATCCTCAACCTGGACACTTGTGGTCCCTTCATCAAGGGACACGACGTGGAAGGCGAGTCCAAGTTTATGCTCATCGGAACATACACATGGTTGAGACCGCCTGATGACAACCCGGAGGAGGAAGTGGAGGAGCATCCCCCGATTGAGGTTGCTGAAGGAGAAGAAGAACAGTGGCCAGAGATAGAAGACGTAGAAGATGAACGAGAAGAGATTCAAGAGAGAGAAGAAGAACAACCTCGAAGAGAGGATGAAGAAGAAGATCAAGCCCCAAGACAAGAAGAGGATGACGGGGGCAGGCCTAGAGAAGAGGCTCCACCTGTTCCGAAGATCGAGGTTCTTCGGGTAGCCATTCCCTTGAAAGGAAAAGGAAAAGAAGATGTACTCAGCGGGGCCATGGATCTTTACTTGCAGCTCAGAGCTGATGGATTTCCTGTTCAAGGCATCCACACTGATCGTGGAAGAGAGTTCATGAATTCCCGCTTCAAGCAGTGGACTCGAAGCAGGTGTATCATGCATACAACAAATGGAGGAGAAGATCCACAGGCAAACGGAAGAGTGGAAAGAGCTGTTCAGGAGATCAAGAGAATGACAAAGCGACTGCTGCATGGTTCCGAGATCGACAAATCATGGTGGCCGATGGCTCTCAGGTATCTCATGGAGACTAGCAGATTGAGGAGAAAGCATGAAGACATGAAAATTCCAGCATTTGGAGAGAAAGTGCTGGTAAAGAAGAGGATATGGAGAACCAAGGCGTTGGAAGCTACGCACGAGAGCAGCAGATACCTTGCGCCAATGATCGAGGCACATGGTCACTGCATTCTCCGTCAAGATGGAAGATGGGGAGTTGCCCCATACGTCATCAAGAACGTCCAAAGTCCGCCACCACCCACCGAAGAGATGTGGCTGGCTTTGATGGAGGAGGCAGAAAGAGACGAAGTTCAAGAAAGGAGAAGAGTGAGAGGAAAAAGGCCTCTCCACCGAGGTGATGGTGAAGGTCTGTTGAGGTTGAGATCTATGCTGAAGGAAGAAGCCAAAGCAGTTGAGGAGGAGTGCCTCGAGAATGCCATGCTGGCGTTTCAAAGACTGGAACCTTGGAAGAAGTCCCTTCGCAAAGCAGAGGAGGAAGGAAGCGAGATCCTTCAGACCAAGATCATCAGTCCCCAAGAGTTGGAACGAGATGTCGAGCTCTGGGACGAGGCGATTAAGGCAGAAATGCACGCACTCATAGAAGAAAAGGGTGCCTTGAGGAGCATTAGTCGCCAATAGAAAGAAGAGCTGCAGCAGCGATGCCCAACTTTGATAGTTGTCCCCAGCAAGCTGGTGATAACCAGAAAAGCAGGGGGAAGAAGAAAAGTGAGGATCGTTGCCTGTGGAAACTATATAGAAAAGGGACAAGAAGAGGACAGCCTCTATGCAGGAGGTGGAGACGCCACAGCACTCAGGGCATGTCTCAGCAAGGCCGTGCAAGCTGACTGGCTTGCCGCTACGTTGGACATCAAAACGGCATTTCTGAATGCTATGCTCCCAGGTGAGGGCGCAGATGACGAAGTCGTGGTGATCTTACAACCACCAAGGCTGCTGGTCAAGCTGAAGTATGTCCAGCCGGACGAGTTCTGGGTGGCGGTGAGAGCCATTTATGGGCTTCGTCAATCACCAAAACTATGGGGCGCACATCGCGACACCAAGATGGGCGGCATGAGTTGGGAAGGTCAAGAAGGCACCATCGCCCTAGAATCCATGGTTGGTGATCCAAACATCTGGAAGATGATCCAACTGAAAGAAGGCTGGGAAGAGGTCACCAAGGGCCTGATTTTGGTCTACGTGGATGATCTGCTGATCATGGGGCCAGAGCCTTTGATCCAGAAGTGTATCAAAAGGATTTCAGAAGAATGGGAGATAAGCAAGCCGGAGTGGCTAGGAAAAGATCGAGGAGTCAAGTTTTTGGGCATGGACATTTGGCTTACAGAAGAAGGAGTTTTTTTGCATCAAGGCAGCTACTTGAAGGAGCTGCTGAAAAGAAATGGAGAAGAGCATGGACTTCTCTCTGGAGTCCCAATCACACGAGATCAAGTTTTGCGCCTGGAGGAGGATGATCCACAGAAAGATGCAGATCAAGTCAAATTAGCTCAGCGTGCGGTGGGAGAGTTGATGTGGCTCCTCACCAGAACGCGTCCTGACTTGATGTTTTGCCTCAGCAAGATGTCTCAGGCCATCTTGCGAAATCCAAAAGAAGTCGTCGGAGTTTCCAAGCAGGTCTGGAAGTATCTGAGGAAGACACAAGATGAAGGTTTGTGGATAAGAAGAGGAGAAAGAAACGTTTTGGAGGTCTATACGGACTCGTCCTATGGTCCTGGGGGAGCAGACTCTCAGGGCACAGTGCTGGTCCTCTGGAATGGAAGCTCACTGCTGTGGAAGTCTGGAAGACAGTCCATCCCATCTCTCTCTACGGCGGAGAGCGAACTTTCAGAAGCGGTAGAAGGAATGGTGATGGGAGACAGCGTGGACGTTCTCGTCCAAGAGATCTTCGAAGAAGGATACCCAAAGATCATCAAGGTAGACAACACTGCCGCGATCAACCTTCTTACAGAAGCTTCTGGAAGTTGGAGAACGAGGCACTTGCGTCTCAAAGCATCACATGTCCGATGGCGATTTGGAAGAATGGACTGGATGGTTGAGGCTGTGCCAGGACAACATCAAATCGCTGATGTAGGCACCAAATCTCTTCCAGCGCCAAGATTGGAGGAGCTGAAAAAGATGATGAAAATGGGAAGCTATGAAAGAACGAAAGAAGAAAGTGAAGAAAAGGAGGAGGACATCAGCCAAGACGTACAGGAAAGAGATATCAAAGAAGGACCAAAAAGAGAAGATGTTGAGAAAATTCTCAGGGTGATTGTGGCCTTGGGATGTGCGCATCATGCATATGCACAAGAAGAAGAAGAACAACGAGAAAGAGACAGCGGATGGGAGATTCTGATTTTGGTCGTCCTAGCTTTTGTAGGAGTGGTGCAGATTTTCCAAGCTCTGACAAGGGTGGTCAAGCAGTTTTGGAGACGACGGCAGAGAAGAATCAAAGAAGAAGAAGTTCAGAAAAGAGAGCACATTGAAGATGAAAGAAATGAAGAGGAGAAGCCGAGTGGAAGTGGACTGAGTCGTCCAAAGGCATTGCCACCTTTGGATCAGGCTCCGCAACCAAAGTCTGCTCACCAGATAGAGCAGGCTCTGCAACCAAAGCCTGCATCTCAGGCTGCTCCGCCACCAATGAGTCTTTCTGTGCCGAAGTATCCAGCACCATCAGTGCCAATAGCAGTTTCTTCGACATCTAGTCAGAGTGCGATGAACAGTAGCTCGGTAGCTGCTGTGAGTATGCCAAGGATGGCGAACACACCAGTGGTTTCTCAGATCAATGTGACCAACACAGGGACAGCCAGAATCGACAGATCAAGCAGAGGTTCTGGTAGAAAACCAGCATTTATCACCCCGTGGGGAACCAAGTGGCACCAAGATACCACTTGCCCTACTCTTGCCAACTCTAGAAGTCTCATTCCAAGCCAATGGTGCCAATCATGTTCAGAGGCCAACCGAGATGAATCCTTGCCAATACTCTCAGTGGGCCCAGGGGGAGTAGCACACTATGATCCCAACTGTCCACTGCTTTCATCAAATTCGAAGAGGTATTCAAAGTGTCAGAGGTGTTAAGAGTGATTTCTAACCTGCTCTCAACGAGACAGGTTATCGAGACAGGGTGGGCCAGAAAGAAAAGGAAGAGCGAAGAGAAAAGAACGGCTTGAGTCAGAAAGTGAGGGGGAAACCGTTTTTTAGGTTTTTTGCACATCCCTTTCGAAATGCGAAATCAATTTTGTGCTGTGGACGGAAATTCCCATAGCCAATACTTATGAACGAAGTGAGTTGAGTGACGTGCGTCGCCAACTCGGGGGAGTGTTCATCATTTTGGAACACATCACTCTATGTGCAATTTCAGCTGTGATCTTTGACTGCTTGCATGCAGCCGTTTTTCGCATCAAAAAGACGAGGTGCGTTAACGGGCGGTGTTGGTGAGGAGATCGGAATTTGAAGAGGGGCACAAATCGAGAAGTGTAACCCCAGAGAGCAGCCTCTAACCTGCTCTCAACGAGACAAATATGTATGTATATGATATGACGTGTTGGCATTGGAAATCTAGCATTTTGTGTGTGTATGTATATATATATAGTTGACCATATGGAGGTTTCCGAAAATGGGGGTACCCGGAAATCATCTATTTTAATAGGATCCATTAATGACACCATCCATTTCCATTTATGGAAGCCCTGTGGGACTGGTCCTCACCTCAAGAGGACGGGGCAACTGGTGCTGGAGATCGCTCAAGCCAGCGATGGCGGCATCAAGACCTTCGAGACTTTGGTCAAGGCGGAAGTGGATTTTTTTTTGTCCATGAACATGGGCCTGTATTCAAGGCATTTGAATGGGACTAATAGGATTTCATGGGATTCAATGGGACTAAAAGGATTGAACAAAGGATTTTGCCTTTGTTCACATGATTTAGCCTATGGTTTTTCCATGGGATTTAAGAGGGATCATTTTTGGGGATTTGACCACCTAAAATTTTTGGGAGAACATGTTTTTCTTGCCAATGATGAACATTACCATCCCCGCTACGAACAGTTTGACACTTTGAATCACTACTTTTTGGAGGATTTTTTCGTCTGAAAAAAACCCCGACGCATGGCAGGGTCGAACTGTTTACTTAATGGTAATTTGAATGAATGATTCTCCAAAGTCATACAATATATTTTTGAATATATATATATATATACAGTATATATTATATTGAATTATTATTATTATTGTCATGATCGAATGCCACCTTCTGATTATTTTTCACTAGTACACTGTCTAAAATGAGTCATTTGACTTTAAATTATGTCTATACAGTCCTTTGAGCGTCAAAGATGGGGCCCTATTTTTTTTGGGACCAATCTGCAAAAAATCTGGTGACTTGTACGTTCGATCTACTGTAGAACCATGATTGACGCATGTCTATGTGTGGCTCACTGAGCCTAGATACGCAATTGGTTGGCAAGTGGTAGAATGATTTCTATAGTGCGCCGTGCGCCCAACCGAGTTTAAACTGGCTAAGTGAGCCTCCAACCATTTGCAGCCTAGGGCTAAGCTTACTTTCATGGGAATAGCGTCACACTGACCTTCTGGCCATGAAAATTCAGGGGATGGTGAGCTGCACACAGGATACCAGTCTTACATAAGCACTTCGGCTTTGCGCCACCGTGGCAGGTTGTGTCTAATGTCTTGGAAAAACCTATGGAGCCACAGCCTCGAGGATAACTGCCGCGCGTGGATTTTTGTGATATTTGATTTCACGGGATACAAAGGGGATTTAAATGTACATAAACATATCTATATACATTTTACAGGTAGCCAAGAATTCAAAAGATGGGATCTGAACATGGGTGGATTTACACCCATTTCCTTTTCCAATTTGGATCGGGGGAAATGATGATAAACCATAGGGTTTTTGGTGTGCAGTCCTTTATTCTCAGGCAAACCCACTTGGTTCCACAATTCGATGCCCAACAGACAGGCCAGAGCAACACGCATGTTGCATCTCCAGGCAGTTCCAGGATCAAAGTCTTTGCCATCATAGTTTGAAGATACTTCCATCTTTCGGTGACCCCACACGTTGATAGACAGGATGAAATATTCCATGATCTTCGCGAAGCATTTCCATGTCACACGAGGGGCGTCCCTTGGCATCGAAATCTGACCAAGGCCCAGGTACAGAGAACTCCGCAGAAGTAGCCCTGGTATCGACCAGGCATCCGCCCTCAGCTAAACTGTCCCAGGGCGGTGTCGTTGAGGGATTTCACCCGTCAAATGGGGAGAGAAGCAGCAAAGATGGACATGTTAGCCATTTTGGAGGAGATTTGGATGTTGAAAAAACCAGGGGCAGCAACGAATTACTTAATTGCCTTCGGCAAGCCCGCCGGCCATAGAGAGGTGGCCCCAAGGGAGTTTGATGTGCATTCTAGGTGAAAGCCCGCGAGAGAGCAGAATAAGAAAGGAAGACGAAGACAAAGCCGTAAAACGGAAGCTTCTTGTGTAGCAAGGTTTGCTGTAACACGCTGTAACAACCCACTGACCTTATACCAAATTAGTACCGCCCCAGCAAAGTAGCGCCAGGTACTATGTATGAGCCTCTGTCTTGACAGCAGACCGCTGCATGGAAGGAGACAGGGGAGAGAGATTGCCCCAAGGGAGGTTGACGTGCACGTTATATGGAAGCCTGAGAGAAGAAGAGACGAAGACAGAGCCGTAGATGAGAAGCAGCTTGAGTAGCAAGTGCGTGCTTGAACCATGCACCAATGGAATGCATACCAAATGAGTACTAGTCGATCAGTACCGTGCGCGTCCTGTGACGAGAAGCTGTAGACGACGGTAATGCTGTAGGCAATGTCATTAGCTACCGGCACTACCAGTGTAGTACTTGGGGAAGAAGGGAGGAAGGAGCAGAGGAGTCGAGGAGTCGGAGTCGGAGTAAGCGTAGGAGTAGGAGTAGGTAGTGGTAGCAGTAGTAGTAGCTAGTAGTAGTAGTAGTTGTTGTTATTATTATTAGTAGTAGCAATAGTGGTCGTAGTAGTAGTAGTAGTAGTAGTAGTAGTAGTAGTCGTAGTAGTCGTAGTAGTCGTAGTAGTCGTAGTAGTCGTAGTAGTCGTAGTAGTCGTAGTAGTCGTAGTAGTCGTAGTAGTCGTAGTAGTCGTAGTAGTCGTAGTCTTGGTCGTAGTAGTCGTAGCTTGGTAGTGGTGGTGGTGGTGGTAGTAGTAGTGGTAGTAGTGGTAGTAGTGGTAGTAGTGGTAGTAGTGGTAGTAGTGGTAGAAGTGGTAGTAGTAGTATTGGTAGTAGTGGTAGTAGTGGTAGTAGTGGTAGTAGTGGTAGTAGTGGTGGTGGTAGTAGTGGTAGTGGTAGTGGTAGTGGTGGTGGTGGTAGTGGTGGTGGTGGTGGTACTAGTAGTAGTAGTAGTAGTAGTAGAAGTAGTAGTAGTAGTAGTAGCAGTAGGAGTAGGAGTAGGAGTAGGAGTAGGAGTAGTAGTAGTACTACTACTACTCCTACTACTACTACTACTGGTGCTGCTACTACTACTGCCACTAGTCACTAGTACCACTACTACCACTACTACCACTACTACTGTATAGTACTACTACTACCACTACCACTACCACTACCACTACCACTACCACTACCACTACCACTACTACTACTACTACTACTACTACTGTATAGTACTACTACTACCACTACTACTACTACTACCACTACTACCACTACTACCACTACTACCACTACTACCACTACTACCACTACTACCACTACTACCACTACTACCACTACTACCACTACTACCACTACTACTACTACTACTACTACTATTTCTACTGCTATTGCTACTACTACTACTGCTACTACTACTTCTACTACTACTTCTACAACCACTACCACTACCACTACCACTACCACTACTACTGCTACTACTACTACTACTGCTGCTACTACTACTACTACTGCTACTAGTACTAGTACTTGTACTTATACTTGTACTTGTAGTACTTGGAGGGGGGAGGGGGGGGTTATGAGGGAACTTTAGGTCCTATGTGTCGAACCACGGTGCTCAGCTAGAATCCCTTTATTGTAGCGTTGGATTTTTCAATTTTCGTAAATAATTCTTTGAGTTTTTGCAACTTTCCCCAAAATCTCAATTTTCCCTAGGGTATAATTAGAAAAAATAAAAATCCAAAACTCCAAGAAGAGAATCTCAAAAAACACTAGGGAAAAATTAAAAAACAAAATAAAAAACCATTGTTTTTTTCAACTTTTTCAATTTTTGGACTTTTAAAACAAATTTTAAAAAAATGAAAAATACAAAATAAAAAACATAAAAAAGACTCCAACTTCTGGCTCCGGGATCGATCATAATGAATTAAAAAGTTCAAAAATTGAAAAAGTTGAAAAAACCAGTGTTTTCTTTAATTATTCCCCAGGGTTTTTTGAGATTCTCTTCTTGAAGCTCTGGATTTTTCTTTTTTTAATTATCCCCTGGGGAAAATTGAGATTTTGGAGAAAAGTTGCAAAAACCCAAGGAATAGTTAGAAAAAATCAAACATCCAAAGCTCCAAGAAGAGAATCTCAAAAAACCCTAGGGAATAATAGAATAAAATAAAACAAAAAACCATTGGTTTTTTCAACTTTTTCAATTTTTAGACTTTTTAATTAAAAAAACATTGGCGACTCAACCGGTATGACAGGGTGATGGTGTGTACATGGTGACAGTTTGGGCAGCATGACAAGGTGCATGGTGGCTTCACTTGAGACGATGTTTTGGTTTCACACGGAACTAGGTTTTTGTTGTGGATAATGAGGCCGCACAGGTTGTTGAAAACGTGGTTCTGCTTGAGTAGAATAGGTGTTTGAGGGTAGCTTCGTTCTTCCAAACGCGAATTTTGACAGTATATCATCCGTGAAACCGACTCTTGTCAGAAGCCATGATGTCGTGCCAAGCAACTGCTGCTTTCCCATCGGATGTAAGTGCTGTGAAGATTGGAGATGTAAAAGAAATTACAACATTGGTTCAAGTAGGTGGCGACCCAGGTGAATGGCAAGTGTTGCATTCGGGGTGTGGCTATCTATTCTCTTTAGCCCCGAGGGATCAACACTCAATAGGGAGGTGACAGCATCCATTGATACACCTATAAACCTTGGGTTGAACGTTGAGAGAACCAAGTTGAAGCGGGGGTTGTGTTCCTGTGCTGTTGAAATTTGCAATGGCGGCCTGTGATTTTTTTTGGTAGTACTGTGCCTGTCGCATCAAACATACATAATGTTTCTGAATGTGTTTCTTCGCACAGTTCCCCCAGCCCACGATCCATGCTTATTAGAATGTGAACGAAAAACCCAAACATCAAGCGCAGCATTTGCTTTCCTGTACGAAACATATATACATATTATATATATATTATAATATAAATCTATCTATCTATCTATCTATCTATATATATATCATATGTATATATATATGTATACACACATAGTACATATATATATATTTTTAAATTATATATATATATATTCAGATTGATTGCTTGGGACCTTCTTCGATTATCAAATTGTATGTTCCAATGTCCTGTATTGATATTGTTTGGGAGATTTGGTCCTTAGAGACTTAGAGGCATGATTCATGAAGCCTTGGTGGTGACAATGCTACTGCCGGCAGCCATTTTTGTTTGGCTGCTTGCAAGGTTTGGGAATTAGGAATTAGTTTCGCGCATTTTTGTGGTATGTCCACCCGGTGGGAGCGCCGGTCCCACAGGTGGCAGGCGAGATTGGGAGCATTGAACCCGAACCATTTCTTTCAAAGTTTGGTAAGTGTGGGTGCATTGATAGACCACAACCGGAGGAATGTTTGATGGAGGGTACAGTCTTGAGATGGATCCATGGTTGAGATGCCATCACTGTGGGATGCATGTCCGGCGGCCATCTGCAGGCATCACAGTGGAGCAATTGGAGAAGTTCGTGGAAAGATGAGACGAATGATGAGAAGAAGGAAGCATCTCGGACGTGTGTCTTGAAGTATTGGATGAGCTTGTTTTACTATGTGGTCATTAACCTCTTTCCGTACGTCCCCTATAAGTGGATTGTCCCATCTAGAAATGGGATCTGGATACTGAGTGGTGGGATGCAACAGGTGCATGCAAGAAATCGCATAAATAGGTCGAGCTCACGGATGAGCATTTTCATTCGAGTAGCAAGCATGCAGTTTCGTTTTCTGCGCGCGATGTGCTTTCAACATGGCATGCGAGTTTATGACCTAGCCCGGTTCTGGCATCACAGGAACGTGAGAGATCACCACGGCCACAGGCGCATGTCTGCCAATTAGCACGGGATGCACATCTTCAAGCTGAATCAGGTACCGATCATCTCTCATGTCTCTGATTTGGAAGAACACTTCCTCGACTTTTCGTCGAAAAAATGTGTGGTGCTGCAGGTGGCCGAAGAACGACCGCTGATTGAAATGTCTCGTTTGCCACCTGGTTGGCGAATATTCCAACCGCCAGCCCAGTGCCAAAAGTGCCATGCCTGCCACGCAAAGTGCAGGTCCATATCACCAAGCGCCACGCCTGCCACGCAAAGTGAAGGTCGACGTCGCCAAGTGCCACGCCTGCCACGCCAACAGCCGCAGCAACAACGGCGTCAACTGGGAACCAAGCGCGCCACCAAAGCCAGTCCAGTGCCATTAGTGCCACACCTGCCACGGAAAGTGCACGTTCATGTCACCAAGTGCCACGCCTGCCACGCAAAGCGGAGGCAGATGTCGCCAAGTGCCACGCCTGCCACGCAAAGTGCAGGTCCATGTCGCCAAGTGCCATGCCTGCCACGCAAAGTGAAGGTCGATGTCGCCAAGTGCCACGCCTACCACGCCAACAGCCGCGGCGACAACGGCGTCAACTGGGAACCAAGCGCGCCAGTGGTGCGGTGACAAGTTGTGTGTGAGTAAGTCGTGTGATGACAAGTGCTATGTGAACAAGTTGTGTGTGAGTAAGTCGTGTGATGACAAGTGGTGTGTGAGCAAGTCGTGTGATGACACGCTGCGTGTGAGCAAGTGGTGTGGTGACAAGTTGTGTGTGAGCAAGTGGTGTGGTGCCAAGTTGTGTGTGAGCAAGTTGTGTGGTGACAAGTTGTGTGTGAGGAAGTTGTGAGTGGACAAGTTGTGTGTGAGCAAGTTGGGCGGGCGGGCAGGGGGGCAGGCGAGAGGAGGAAGGCGGAAGTGCAGAACCAAAAACAAGAACCCCACACAAAGATGTGGGGAACAAGCAGGCATCGATTGGAGGAAGAAAGAAAATGATATGGAGCTGTTACATGGTCTGGCATCAAATTAAATGGCTTACCCCATTGAATAAGCATGCGCGTACCTGAGGAAGGCATGATGATTGTAGGATAGGGGTTGAAAGAAGTAGAACAAATACAAAGTCAACCCACACAGACAAGTGTGAATGTATTATGTATATGTGTCTGTGTGCTGTGTCCCACTCGTTTCCAAAGCTTGACAACAATGGTGCAAGAGGAGAAACAAGAGGTTTAGGTCAGGATGTTTCAAGTGGGAAAAGCGTTGTTGTTACGCCACCCAGTCTGTTGTCCAAACTGTTGCTTCCCCGGTTTCAGGGACCCTGAAGCGAAGCGCTAGTTGGGTCGGCGAGATAGCTTGCTGTTCACTGCGCTGGTGCATGCACGGAAAGATCCAAAACGGATTGCCGCTTACGTAAAACGCAAAGAAACATGTGCATGTGATATGTGTTTCTTGTTTTACATGTATGTGTAGCTTATTGAGTAACCAGCACCTAAGAAGCCTGTAATCTTACGCAGCAAGACCACCGATCAAATCAATCTCGATTCAATCAGATGGGTTGTGTGCAAAGTAGCTGGCGTGGTAGTGTGCTATGTTTTGTTTTGGTCTTGGCGGTTGCGATGCCTGCGAGTAGCGCGGTACATTTTTTACAGTAAATGCTAACAAGCCAAGATCTGCACAAGGCTATGATAAGGTGCGCAGAGCATTGTCAATGTAGGCCTGTGACGGCTTTAGCTTCGGATATCGCCTTGTAAAGCTGATGCTGTATGTCAGCCGCGTGATGACTCTGGGAAGGGTGGGCCGGGCGACTTCTTGCGTCATGCTCGAGGTTGCCTGGTGGTAGCGGAGCGTGCTGCTCCTGTAGCATGGGACTGCCGCGTTGTCCTGGACGTGTTTGTCTTGGTTTTCCTTGTTTCGGATAGTGCGCAGGGCATTGCGTAGGCCTGTGACGGCTTTAGCTTCGGATATCGCCTTGCAAAGCTGATGCTGTATGTCAGCCGCGTGATGACTCTGGGAAGGGTGGGCCGGGCGACTTCTTCCGTCATAGGAGGTGCTCGAGGTTGCCTGGTGGTAGCGGAGCGTGCTGCTCCTGTAGCATAGGACTGCCGCGTTGTCCTGGACGTGTCTGTCTTGGTTTTCCTTGTTTCCGATAGTGCGCAGGGCATTGCGTAGGCCTGTGACGGCTTTAGCTTCGGATATCGCCTTGTAAAGCTGATGCTGTATGTCAGCCGCGTGATGACTCTGGGAAGTGTGGGCCGGGCGACTTCTTGCGTCATGCTCGAGGTTGCCTGGTGGTAGCGGAGCGTGCTGCTCCTGTAGCATAGGACGGCCGCGTTGTCCTGGACGTGTTTGTCTTGGTTTTCCTTGTTTTTGTCTAGGGAGGTACATAACCAAACAGCTGAGGAACGTGTTAATCGACCATCGCAGATCATAGCAAGCGCCTTGGCCACGTAGGGGTTTGGCTTTCAAGATGTTGAAGTACACACAACCATGCGCAACCAAAGACCGGTGCACAAAACAATGCGGGTTTTTGCTACAGGTGCAACATCTCATGGTATAGTGTTGTTGATCTTCATTGTGTTTCTCATCTGTTTCAAGCTCTAAAGAAATGTTACCGTGGATAGAGAGGTACTACAATAGTCCACACAGAGCTTATGAAGTAGCAACTTTCTGGATGCTTTCACAGTCGTGGTAGTGGTAGGCAGGTGACAGTTGCACGGCAAGGAAGGTCACGTGATGTTTCCCAACCAGAAGCACAGACACGTACATCGACCTTGTGATTGCTATGCATGTATCAAGTCAGAGACATGAACGAGCATGCATGTGTTTTACGTGTCTATGATATGGTCAGGATCGAATGCACGGTTGTTTCCAGTTTTGTCCAGTTGTAGATCCCTATAGCAGAGATCATGCCTTAGTGGTGCGCTATGGTGCGCTTTTGAGGGCCTATCTCATTTTGTTGGGTTTAACTACATGCATATGTGTTTGATTGCTATACCAAAAAACACTTGCACATCTACGTCATGTCTGCAAGGAACAAATGAAAAGAAATGTCAGTGATGATGTCATTTGTAAGCGCATAAGATATCAAAGAAAAAGAAATCAACGTTGAATCTTATAACTTGGATTGTATCGGCTGAAAAGATCCGATTCACATCATGTTTGTTGCTTGCGTTGGAGACATCTTTTTGACCCGCAAATATCCGTTTGCCAAATGTGGAGAAAGGGTGCGCGCCACATAGGCCCAAAAATTCCCCACCACGGGGGAGGGGGGGTGACCTTGATTCAGACGAAGCAAAAACGCGCAGCAAGAGAACAAAGGAACAAGTACAAACCAAGAACAGAAACAAGTACAAACCAAGAACAGAAACAAAAACAACACCTTCCAATCAGACACGCCGGCAGGCCAGCGGATTTCATATCTCCACGAATAATTAGAAGGAATGGTCCAGTAATGGTGGATTTATAGAGATATGATTTCGAAAGACGCAGAGGCCCGAGTCTGAGTCACAACCTGTTCTTGGTGTGTTGGTTTGGCATTCTTGGCTTGCCTCATATCCTATCAGATTTGCTGCATTGATTATTCGTAGTATGTCCATTTTGTTCATGGCCTCTCCAGTTCTTGTTGGTTGCTATGCATCCGTTTCGTTGTAAAATATCCGTTTTTCTCGTTGGGTCGACCAGCATCGTTCCCCTGGTGATGGTGGCTTAGTTCACCTAGCCGGACATTGCCCCTACGTGTTCACCAACGGTTGCAGGTAGATGCAAGGCCACAGGGGGCCATGCTGTTGCGACGCCTTGGTTTCATGGCCTGCCGGCCATGTTGCTGCTGGGGTCGTGACGGCGGAATTTAGCCATGAAGAATTGTGGTTGAGCAGTCAAAAATTGGGATTTAACCAGAAAACATGGTGATTTACCCATCAAACACGGTGGTTTTTAACCACCACAACTTTTCACCATCAATCTCCATCAAAGTTTTGGATTTAAAACATGAAAATTTTGAATCCCATGCCTCATGCCAATGGGTTGGAAAAAATGGTTTCATGGTGCTATATACCAATCTAATGGATCAATACTATAAACTATAAATGGTTGCTATGTAACCATTATGTGGATAAGGATCCAAATTATCATCTCCAAATGGGTGCAGTAATACGAAAAAAACCAGCATTTGTGTTTCTGTGGGTTTTCAATTTTGACGCATACCCATTGGACCGACAATGGATATGGAGATTTTACCCAGCAATCAATGGCAATTGAAGCATCATTGGTCTTGTCTGCAAAAAAAATCAATTTTTGGTGATTCGGTTGGAGCTAGGGTTTGTTGTTCATATTGGATTTTTTTTGCTGTTTGAAACAACCATGGACATGGACATCCACGATCTTCAATTTTCAGAAGATCAGGGGTGTCAGCAGATGATGATACCCCCAGTCGCTGGTCGCCGTGATGTTGCGTTCGATTCCCATGAACGATTCTCCGTGGCTTTATAAACCATCGATCAACCATTATTAACCATAGACTGTTGATAGATTTTCACCATTATCCATTTTTTGCTATGGATAAACTATTACTAACTATAGATTACTAATATATCAACAATAAATTACTTATTCTCAACCGTAGATTAACAATAGATGCACCATTATTAGCTATTGTCAACCATAGTATTCTTAACCATAGATTAACCATAGATACGCCCATCATAAGTTAGCCATGCATTGACCATATATGAACATGGGCACTCAGATTTAACATTAACCATAGAGACCCCCATCAATAACATATGAACCATACATCCAGTATTATCAATTATTTACCATAGATTAACCATTCTCAACCATGGTATTACTAACCATAGATTAATCACAAATATAAACGGTAGATGATTCCTATAGATTATTCACATTTATCCAGTGTTAGCCATAGATTACCATAGTCTAACCATAGATAAACCATCATATATGAACCATAGACTCCAGTAGTATCCATTATTATCCATAGATGAGCTATTAACCATAGATTCACCATTCTCAACCATAGATTATCCATGGATTTACCACTATTGGTTAATATGAACACGGTTAATCAATTCCATTTCAACCATAGTTCATTTTCAACCTTAGATTTACCATTCCTGATATGAAGCATATAAACAGTATTGTCAATGATTATCCATAGATTTTAACCATCTCAACCATGGTATTGCTAACCATAGACTAACCATAGATTAACCATAGATTTACCATAGACACACCCATCATAAATTCGCCATGTATTAACCACAGACTAACCATAGACTAACCGTTCTTGATATATGAAGCATACTATGAAACATCCATTCCGCCAGGATTGTGGTGACTACTACCGCCTCCAGAGCTCTGGCATTCGCGGCTCAGAGGTGGATCGTGCTGATTTTCGAGATTTTCTTGCCGTTTTTGGATGTCTTTGGTGGTGATTTTGTCGGTGATGTTTAAGTTTAGTAGTTGGTTTGACCATCGTTTTTTTTGCCTCTGTGTACCAGCACTTGTAGAAAGGTACTGGATATTTTGTGAGCTAAACATGGCATGTTCCGCATTTATAAGATGACTAGCCATAAATTAATCATATATTAACCATAGGATACTACGCATTAGCTTGATGTTTAACTTGACTCTCCACCATTTCTGCCAAGGTTCACTTTTAGGTAGCTGGCTGGCTAGTTGGTTGGTTCCTTTGGTTTGTTAGCTAGGTACTTAGTTTCTACTTGTGGACCACTCCCAAGCGCCAAAGAATGGACGCCGTGGCAGGTGGCACGTTTTCAGTGCGCCCTGAATGATCTGCCTCATTGTAGGCCATCGTGGGGTGTTTTTTTTGACCCCAAAAAACGATGGGTTGAAACGTTGTGCCAAGTGACCCTCCATCCCGAATATAACGGTTACATTCAACCAGATATAACTGTATTGAAAACATACTTTAACCCCTTAGATCTTGGTGAGTTTTAGTATTGAACACATCCACGAGCCATCCCGTGAACTCAGACGGTGAAAGGAAAAATCCCAGAGCCACGCGAGGGGGGGAACCCTGTTGGTTAGGGGGTTCTACTACCCTTTATACTTTATATATTGGGGATTCCATAAATGGGGACACCCCGAAAAGGATGGTTTACAATGGAACATCTTATTAAGTGTATGATTCAGGAGTACCTCCATTTTAGGAAACCTCCGTATTGGGGATTATCATCATTATAATGCACTATGGATTCCATATTAACCAACCAGCACAATGGTTCACAGAAGTGTAGTCCTACAACATTCTACGCTAACCCAGAACATGCGAGGAAGAAGACCATTATCATATCCTCCCTGCCTGCGTGGGTCAAACTTTGAACCCAAGGGACCCGCGCAGGACTGGGCCCTTCTTAGGCTGTGCTGATAAAACTCATTCAACTTCGTGCTAAAATGATCTTGGTCATAGTATCCCCATGTTTGTGTCGAATCCTATTGTTGCGGACTTTCCAAATCAACCAGTATGGCCAGAAACCAATGGTTGAAATCACCGAAGAGACAGAAAAAACAGAGCCCAAAGTCTCCGGTTGCATTGAGCCGTCGCCAAAATCTTCTCACCGCCCAGTAGCTTTGTCGAGCGGCTCGGGCCCTCCATTTTTGCCTTGGGCTCGGGCCCTTGGAGGTCTCGGAGGTTACTCAATACCTGGGTACTGAAAGTGTTTTTTTGTTCACACAAATGAGATACTGTACTATCTTTCAAGAGAACACAGGTGTTTGGGGGATGGTAAGAAACACCATGTAATTAAAAAAAATATATCAAGAAAGAAAAAACAGATACCAAGCCGAAATTACCGCAGACTACCGGATAAATACCTCTTGCTCTGTGTTGCGTGAGGCTTTATACGGGCAGTGTGATCGTAAATGAAGAAAACATCGATGAAGCGCTCTGACATGTGCCAAACAACTCAAATGGGCATGGGTCAAAACCTATGTTAGCTTATTCGAGGGAGAGCCACAACTACCCGCCATCTTGGAGCGAAATCCTTCAGCGATGCGTCGATCCACTGCTGTTCTGGTGCGGTGAATCAGGGGCCCACGTCCCAGAAATCTTGGGAAAATCAAATTCAGCTTATATCATTTCCAGCAATTCTGTTGCTGAGTATCTAACGGTATCTAAGCAATGGCCATTGAAATGGAACCGATGTATTGGAGGTAGCTACCATTTTTTTAAGGCCTATGGAAGGGCTATCTAAGGGATTATCCCCACAACATATGGCCAAAAATATGGTACTGACGTACCTCCGATCAATTCCCATTGATCTAAGATTCGTTCAATCTTCAGGGGTTCTGAAGACTTTACCACTCCTGCTACCCGGCTGACCCAGGCTTAGAATGGCGGAAACCGGATGGCACCAGCACTTGTTTGCCAGGGCCAACCTTCCGCCTGAGGGCTCAGCAGATAAAATTGGTGGTCGAGCTGAGTTTGGACACCATTCCCAGGGTTTCACACACCTTACAACTGCTGTTTGTCTTTGATGGACACAATTCGATCATATTGGAACATGTTTGCAGGCTTTGATAAGATAATCCTTGCAACATGGCACTGGCTTTGAGAGGGACTGAAAGGCAGGTTACCAGAGTTTGACCCTTATATTACCCTTTAGCCTTGTATATATATATGTATATATATATGTATATATATATATGTATATAAATATATATGTATATATATATACACACATATTGTATGTACATGTATATGTATATGTATATGTATATGTATATGTATATGTATATGTATATGTATCTAAATATGTAAATATGTATATATGTATATATGTATATATGTATATATGTATATATGTATATATGTATATATATATATTCATACAGTACATTGGCGATGGCAGTTGTAATCCATGACTTCGGGATTGATCGCCGATGGCGCAACATGTGAGGCGAAAGGGCTCAAAACTCAGCGCAAGTGTCGGTTCCTTCGCTGTTCCTTGGCGGCGTAGGTATTTGGCGGGTTGATGATGTCAGCATGGTGCAGAATGAAAAATGGTGGTTCAATGGGACTTGATGGGGGTTGAATCGGAATTTGATGGGGATTTGAGGAGAAACCAACCATTTTAAGGGAAGATATTTGGGATTGGAACTGGGGCAGCGAACGGACAAAGCCATGCTTTGACTTCCTTCTCCACAACTCATGCCGAAGTGCAGTTTGGAACAGGATGGTGTAGATGAAATTTTGAATCAATTGGTTTCCATCAGAGGTGATTTTGTGACAAAAGTAAACACAGTGTAGCCTTGCACAACTTACAATAGGACTTGTAAACGGTTCACACATGTATAAAAATATATATATATATATATGTATATATATATAAACAAATTTCTGTGCATGTTCAGTCCGAGCTTTGTAAGTGTTGACAGACATCGGCGCATTTTGGAAGTCTGCATCGCAGACGGGCGTGCCAAACGTGCGGGTACAGCCGGTACAGCTGTTTCTTGTTCTGAGGGGAGGATCATCGGCAAATGAAATCAGGAACCATAGCCACCTGGGATTGTTCATACTAAAACTGGCCAAGTTATGGTCAGCTGGTCAGCTACCCCAAGGCCGGATGTAGGCGTGGCGGGAGTTTTTCGGGATCTTCGTGGGGCCCGGCCTTGAAAGGATGGGTCAGTTCTTGTGGAACTGATGGAACTGTGATCTATGGTGGATATGTTGATGGAGCGACTGATTTATGACTGGCGGGGGTTCCCCTTCCTGTCTGGTTTTTCATCACATGACGTCATAAACCTTGGCAAGTGAGCATTCCCGATTGATATCCATTTACAGATTGATTTTGAAGATGGGAATTTGCTGAAACTTTATCCCCAGTTTCGGAGTGGATGGCTTTTGAAACCTTGCCACAGGCGGCGCTTGGGGACATGCTTCCTCTCTGCATCTTGGCAATTCGCTGTACCCTCTGGAAAAATGGCCCACAGTTGACTGGAAAAATGGCCACTCTGAGTATTTAAATCATCTATAAATCATCTATAAATCACCTATAAATCATCTATAAATCATCTATAAATGGGCCATGGCTTCCATTTATTAAACCGTTAAATCAACCATTTCAGGCCCGCTGCTCGGAGCCCGGAGGAAGAGGATGATGCGGACCTGTCTGGGGCACCCAGGTGGTTTCCTCATATTTTTCCCAGAAATTTTCCCAGGAAAAAATAGGTCCATTTCATGGATTTCATGGGTCATTTTCAGAAGAAAAGTGCAGGAAGATAATGATTGATGATTAGTATCATCTACCTGTTGGATCAATCAGCCTGGTGACCCGAAAAACCCCGATTCCTAAGGTTGATGGGTGGTTTTTTTCAGCCTAAAGATGAGTGAGGATGGGTATGGTTCAAAATATGTTCCTGATTTTCAAAATAGCTGGTAAATGAATGTTCTCTTCCCTCCATACATGATTTTTGCGGTTATTGGTTCATATACTGTCGTTTTTTTCTCCACATGATTTCTTTATTGAAACAATATGATATTTGACCATGAAATATTGGTGGGAACTGTCAGTTGGTTAAGGGATATGGGAATTTCTGCAGAAAAAAAACATAGGTCTCATCAGAAACGGGCAAATTCAGCACGAAACACCGGAACCCTCAGAGAAAGTTCACCACTGCACTTCCCACAAGCACCACGTAGCCATAGGATTTCAAAGAGGGTCTATGGGAATGGTCATCCAAAAAACAGAACGTGGTGGAACCCCATGTAAAAGTAGTAAGGGCCCATTTCAAACAGATGGGATGACAATGGAGCATATTACCCACGCAGAAGGGAGCTCCATTTCCAGTTTTGGACACATCAAGAACTTGCTGTTGTGGATTTTCGAGATTTAACAATACTGTTCTTGAAGTGATTTAACCTATCCTTCTCAGTTTCTATTCCATGGCCACCTTTTCCTGAGGGACATGGAAGTTGGACTTTCCGTACATTGTCTTTGTATATGCGTTCTTTCAAACAAGTGAGCCATGATATTTCATGGATTGAAGATAAAGATGGAATTTCCAGGATCTATTCAAACCAACGTGAACATCAGAACAACACTTTTTGATATCGGGATTCCTGGTTGTTTGGGGAGAACAATCAAGATTAAATGGTTGTTTGGCTTCTCCCAGCTGGACAGATTACAAACTGACTTCACACATGGACCCCTCTCTTTCACGTCACTTAGATTCCCAGCAGCAAAATCACATGGCAACACGTAGCAGCCGGAATGCAGTTTCCGCGTTCCGGGTCGGGTTGGCCCGGTCTCTGAAGGCAAGAAGCACTCCGACTCTCCATGATCCAAAGTTGAGGACGGCATTGGCGCAATTGACCACTGGCGCTGGACCTTTCATGGCTAAACTGCTAAACAAACCATGGTTAGGGCGGTCTGTTTTGTGAGGTGTCATCAGTCCCAAAATTGAGGTTTGGGTCAGAACTACTAACCAGTGTTATTACATCAGTTCCTGACTCGGACTACAGTACCGGGGATGATCCTGCTACAGTTTGGCTTCCCTACAACCATCATGCATATCGCACCAGAAAGTAATATCCTCCAAATACATCACTTACTACTCATAAAGGCCAAAAATTGATAAACATTGTGGTTTGCTGGGCCTTCGTTGAAAAATATCTACAGTAATTTATGATTACTCATCTGGGCTTCACATTCAGCTACTTTTTTCAGGACACATGTTCATTCTTCCTCGTTTTGGCGCCCATGTTTTGGCGCTAAATCCGCAGATTTTTCCCCAATGGGGTGGATCAAACCTGCATTAAACCTGGATAGAGGAACCTTCCAACGAAGGCCATTTTTTTTTCTTTGGATCCGTGATTTCTAGAAGTCTCAAGTCTTTCCATACTTTGCTGATGGGATTTCAGCGTCATGTTTCAGAATTTAACGACCTCAAAGCGACCTCAAAGCGACCTCAGCATGAATTACGCTCAGGGAATCAATCCAAGAATGGCTTATTCTATCCCAGTGGTTTGGAGGGAACTAAGGAGCTATGGGTATCCATATTCCCTATTATGTAAATGGGGAGCCAAGGAGATACTAAGTCGTAGGAGTTTCGCAACTATCATGATAGTGTTATTTCAGGTTCGGGAACTTTCGCAATTTCAGACTGTTTGGAAATTCTTCGACACCCTTTGCTGCTGGCTCTGGTGGTCCGCGGTCGTTTGTACACACCGTTTCTGCGGGGCGCGGCTGCATCACGCGCAGGCACCCCGTGCAAAGCGACGCAAGCTGCGTGGCGCGCTGCGAGCTGCGTCGAAAGCGAAACAAAGAGATGTGCAAGGCGGTACAACAGTTGGGGATTTAGATGGATTTAGCCTAAACAGTTGGGGATTTAGATGGATTTAGCCTCAACAGTTGGGGATTTAGATGGATTTAGCATCAGGATTTCAGCCAATTCGGGTTACTGTTATGCCAAGATCAGCCCATCTGGTCCTGGAGTTTGACATCTTTGACGGTTCAAATGAGCCCACGATGCCCACGAAAAAACGGCTGGTTCCTTGGGATTTTCACTGGTGGAATTTGGCCTCAAGAGGTCGCCATGCAGCTGTTTGGAACATTTTGGAAATGCAGCGTATACACTATACACACAGAATACCTAGATCATGCACATCCACCGATCCACCATCCGCCTGTACGTCATGAATTGAGTCATGAACATATTCTGAATGGCAATTGTGTCTCGTTCTCCGTGCCCTTTTGGGCGATGATTGCTGCCGTGACAAGGTGCATGGGGGTAGCCTGGGTGGTATGGCTTGATGCTTTGGACTTTCATAGGGGTTGGGTCCTACATCAAAACATGGGCCAGTTGTTTAAGGGCTTCATATGACTCAAGCGATGCTAAACGCTGGTTAATGAGGATGAGATTTTCGATATCCAGTTGTAACTGGGAACTTAGGAAATGAAACAATATTCCTGCTAGATGAGAGCCCCCTGGTTATATGATAGTAAGGATCCCTAAGGATTGTTGGACTTCTCCAATTTTTGTCAATCCTATGCCTAGCGCAATTTCGGTTCCAGAAAATCCTAAGTTTTGGTCAATAATCCCTGATTCTCTTGAGGTATCTCTGGAATCTCACCATCTTATTATAAATGGTACCGCATGTCAGTTCAATGGTATGAGCTACCCAGCACCCGGAGCTGGCCCTTTCTTGTGTAGCATCATCCTCAGTCGGAATTGGTTTAGAACCCTGGTTGATCTGGTTGTTGGTTGAATCCCCATTGGTTGTTCAACATACCCCCCTTTTTGATTGATCATCGCATGAGGGATCTCTAGTTTTGGCAGCTTTTCTGGCGCATTCTGGCGGCCTTTTGTAGCGGCTCAACCGATGACCGCATGGATCATGGATCACCGAGTGCCCCCCGAGGCTTGGACTCGGGCCGGGGCCAGGGTATTGGGTCATCCTAGTAGTTGCTGCATGACTATCACCATTTTGATGGGAAAATTTGACGAACCAGCTGCACATGAAGTTTGGCAGGGTATCTAGGTATCTAGGCCTAGCCAGTAAAAACCAAGCATACAGAAGCATGGTGATCTGACCCTAGAGATTGAAACTTGAAACTTCAACTGTCTGGGTAATTAAATTTAATTAACCATCAAATTAACATAAATTAACCATGAAATGCATCGGTCATTCACAAAGACTGCTGCCTGGATGCATGTTGATTCCTGAGGATTCATCAAAGGGGGACATAAACTACCAAGAAAAATGAGGATTTCACCAGCAAACATCGAGAATTTTTCAGGAAGACATATGGGGAATTAACAAACATAGCAATTCAATCAATTTTTGATGGAAAGCATGCGGTTTTCTCGAACAGAATTTTTTTCGGCAGCCAAATGGATGGCTCCCAAACATGACCTACTGTACATCCATTGCATCCATTGTTTGCAGGGCAATAGTTTTGAAGTATGCCTGCATAGCAAACAACAAATTTCTCAAGTTGCTGAAGTAGGAGTGAGCCTCCCACTGGCACGGCTTACTTCTGGCGTGTCAACAAAAGGTAACATTTGCCTTCTATATTAATTACCCGGCGGAATTTTTACCGTCCGCATAATTAGCACAAATTCATGGTTTCGCCATAGCGAAACGTCAATTTTGATGCAAAAATAGGGGTCTCCGAACTTGAGGGTTTAACTTTTCCATCGACAAGCCTCTCAGCGTTTTTTTTCTTCAAGAGGCCCGAAGTCGAATCAAGACAGTTGCTTGATGTACGCCGTATGTGTGGAAGTTGCACAAGAACAAGCAGTGGCGTAGCATCACGTCTGTTTGGAAGTTGCAGAAGAACAAGCAGTGGCGTAGCATCACGTCTGTGTGGAAGTTGCAGAAGAACAAGCAGTGGCGTAGCATCACGTCTGTGTGGAAGTTGCAGAAGAACGGGCAGAGGCGTAGCATCACGTACTTGTGGAAGTGCCAATGAACGTTAACATCCCACCCCACCCCACCCCACCCCAACGTAGCATCACGTATGTGTGGAAGTTGCAGAAGAACAGGCAGTGGCGTAGCATCACGTCTGTGTGGAAGTTGCAGAAGAACGGGCAGTGGCGTAGCATCACGTATGTGTGGAAGTTGCAGAAGAACAAGCAGTGGCGTAGCATCACGTCTGTGTGGAAGTTGCAGAAGAACAAGCAGTGGCGTAGCATCACGTATGTGTGGAAGTGCAAATGAACGTTAACATCCCACCCCACCCCACCCCACCCCAACGTAGCATCACGTATGTGTGGAAGTTGCAGAAGAACAGGCAGTGGCGTAGCATCACGTCTGTGTGGAAGTTGCAGAAGAACGGGCAGTGGCGTAGCATCACGTCTGTGTGGAAGTTGCAGAAGAACAAGCAGTGGCGTAGCATCACGTATGTGTGGAAGTGCAAATGAACGTTAACATCCCACCCCACCCCACCCCATCAAAATCTATGCGTTTTGCTGGACGGTAAAAATTCCGTCAGCATTAATTAGTGCTGAAAAATCCAGCTGTTCTGACTTCAACATGTGTACATCAACAAGTGTTTACTCACCAGGTTTTTTTTGCGATCCCCGACCATGTCCCACGCCCTTTAGATCCCATTCGGTTCTTGGGATAAAATGCACAGACGGTCACGACTGGATGATTGTGGATGATCGACAGTGAAACAACGACACAAAACTGAGTGAACGTTGTTGGATGTGTTTTGAAATATCCTTCTGCATGTCTCAACTCAGCTTGGATTTGGGCCCGGTAAGCCAAAAAAAAACAGAAACGTGTTCGACAAATCGATGATTTCTGTGAAACCCTTTTACCATCATTCCCAGGTGTCCAATTTTCGGATCTCCGGGTTGCTAGGCCCCGCCGCCGAAGAGCCGCGTGCGCATGGGACATGTGGTGCTCGCATGCCCGGAGCCGGGGGGGCGGTTGGGATGGGGCTTTCCATTTTTGTATCCCAAAATCCATCCAAAATAGAGGTGAATCAGTCTGTGAATTGTCTGGGAATCCTATAGATGTTATGTAAATCATGGGGTGTAATTCAAACTCCATTCAGAGAGATGAGATGTGGTTGCCGATGAGGGTCACCTGCGATTTGGATCGCAGGTGACATTGTTGGTGGTATTCTTAGCCACAAGCACCAAACTCGCACAGATGTCGTTATTTATTTGTTTTTATCCAAAAGATCCAACATGCCAGTAGGAACCGGTCATTCTTATGTGGTGGTTTGGGAAATTGATGGTCCATGTATCAACCAAGTGCCACATTTGTTTGCCGTCAACATAAACAGCGATGCTGGCAATGGACAACTCCCCGTTGACATAGCCATTGTTTCCCCGTTGAAGCCCGGTAATTTTCCCAAACATGTTTCATCAAACAAAAGCTCTGCCAATCAAACGTGACAAAGGACAAATCCAATAGAACCGTCCCCTTGAGATTAAATCCCCCGTAACAAGGGACCCCAAAATTCATTTGGGGCGTATTAACAATATAAATAAAATATAAGGGTGCTACGATGCGGATTTTCCAAGTTTCAGTAAGGGTAGTGGCAGGAGTACATTGCACAGATCTTTGAACTTCATGCCCAGCGTGCTGGAATTCCTTTCGTCACTTGTCATTCCCTGTCAGAGCCTGGGCACAAATTTGGGAAGGCTTGGGATAGGATCCACATCTTTATGTTGTGCGGCACCTTTTCCTTTCTCACTCCTTTTTGTTTGCTAGAGCCTACAGGACCCCTGAATTGGATGGTTAAAGCATGTACATGACTGAAAATTACAGTTTGATGATGTTTGATGTAGACTGGTGCACTCATTCATTCCATTCCATTCCATTCCATTCCATTCCATTCCATTCATTCTTTCATTCATTTCTTTCATTCATTTCTTTCATTCATTCTTTCATTCACTTCTTTCATTCATGTCTTTCGTTCGTGTCTTTCATTCATGTCTTTCATTCATGTCTTTCATTCATTCACATTCCATTCCATTCCATTCCATTCCATTCCGTTCCATTCATTTTCAATACAGCTCAGTTCAGTTCAGTTCAATTCAACTCAGCTCAATTCAATCAGTCATTCTTTCATTACATTCAGTCATTCGTTTCAAGACACCTCATTTGAATTCAAGTGTGTTCACTCGCTTCACTCGTTCGATCCAAACCATTTCGTGTCATTCCTTCAGTCAACTCCTTGCATCCATTCTGTTCAATTCAGTTTCACTCAATTCAAGCATTCATTCGTGTTCTTTCAATTTTTGAGGGTGCAGCACATCACTTTGGGTCATTCAAGCTGGACCTGACAACGCCAAACCTTCTTTTCTTATAGGCGCCTTTTTCCCTATATTCACTTTCTTTTTTGAAACTTCCGCCCCCGCCTCGTGCGGGCACTATCGGTATCGGTGGTATTTAATATAGATAATATAGATAAACAAATATATATATATATATAAGTAAACATACATACATACATACATGCATACATGCATGCATACATACATACATGCATGCATACATGCATGCATGCATACAAACAAACAAACAAGCATTACATTACATTGAATTGCATTGCATTGCATTACATTACATTACATTACAGTACATTACATTACATACATACATACATGCATACATACATGCAGACATAATACATACATAGCTAGATAGGTAGATAGATAGGATTAGATAGATAGATAGATAGATAGAATTAGATAGATAGGATTAGATAGATAGGATTAGATAGATAGGATTAGATAGATAGGATTAGATAGATAGGATTAGATAGATAGGATTAGATAGATAGGATCAGATAGATAGGATC